TATTGCGCAGCCCTACTTTTGAGTATATGCTATTTGGGGATCGAGCATTTGGAAAATGTTTGAGACTCTTGAAAAAGGGAAAAGAATGCCACAATACTACATTGTCTCAAGGTGTTTTTAATATATATATTGACGCTCGTAGTTATACATTATAACAAATCAAGCTGAAAAACATCAAGCCCTTGTACAAACTCCTTATATGGAACCGGAGAGACCCATCGGCTGCCCATCGCCCTATTCTCGAGTAAGATCATGAAGATATGTTATAAAACTTGTGGATATGACATTTTTTAAGAATGATGAATTGTGTTTTAAGGTGTCAGTAGCAATTTGCACGACAGGAGCACCAGAAATTAGCTTCACACATCGTACCGAGGTTTTCTTTGTTTGTTTGTTTGTTTGTTTGTTGTTTAATGCTGCACTCAGCAATATTCCAACTATATGGCCGCAATCTCTAAATAACCGATTATGGACCAGACAATCCAGTGATCAACAGCATGAGCATCGATGTATGCAATTGGGTTACGATGGCATAGTACCCATGTGAGGAAGTGAACTAGGGTCCTCGAAGCCACCTGTGAAAATGTCAGGCCACTTGTGTGATAAACGTAGAAAATACAAGGACCCTCTTTCAGGATTTCAGATATCAGACGCTGCTGATGTCACATGTGCGAGCCCAAAGAAGCTCCGGTTTAGAATTGGTCTTTAGCAATCTATAAGAGCGTCTAAATGGATCGGGTGGTCTGGTTCGCTGACTTGGTTGACACATTTCATCGTATCCCAGTTGCGAAGATCGATGCTCATGATGTTGATCACTGGATTGTCTGATCCAGACTCGATTATTTACAGACCGACGCCATATAGCTGGAATATTGCTGAGTGTGGCGTAAAACTAAACTCACTCACTCTCACTCATTTGAACGGGCGAGAAAGTTAGGTTTCATAACAGCGTGTTTAATGAAACCTATGAGCACTGGTATTGTGCTAACCTAAGAGAGAGGACTACCTGGACGACTCTGAGATCCAAACTCATGATGGAGGGACGTTCTTTATACCAGCGTAATCACACATAGTACACGGATGTAAGTGAGAGGTGTCACGGGGCAAACAGGTGGTGTAGTGTGAATCCATATATTTAACCAGTGCTGCTGCTATTGCAGGTACAATACTACTACTACTACTACTACTACTACTACTACTACTACTACTACGACGACGACGACGACGTCTAATACTACTTAAAAGAATACAACTATTAGTATTACTACCACTACGAGGACTTCTACCACTCATACTACTGTTACTACCTCGACTACCATTATACATGTATTTCGTGATCCCTCCTACTTGTGATTAGTTTCATTTAATCTAGATCAACCTTCAACTTACAGGTAAGTCTCGTTTAATCTTCGATTACTTCCCCTCCTCCTACTTCTATTACTGCTACTACTACTACTTCTACTACTACTACCGCCTCCGTGGTGCAGCGGCTAGAGCGTCCGCCCGGAGAGCGGAAGTTCGCGAGTTCTATCCCCAGCCGCTTCATACCAAAAACGTGGTACTTGTGGTACTTGTTAGCCCCTGCCTGGCGCTAATGGCGTTAATGGGTACAACAAGGACTGGTCGGCTCGGAGTCAGTATAATGTGTCTGGGTGGATTATCTCAGTGAGGTAGCACTATAAAACCAGCTGGGCTAGTACAATGATCCATACATACACACGCATGATACACGTCGTCAAATGAATGAAATATTCTCAAGTACGACGTTAAACCCCATGTTACCTCACCTCACCTCACCTCACCTCACCTTACTACTAATAATAATACTTATGAGTTTGCTGCACTTTTGGAAGTTAAAAAAATGAGACATTTTCATAGTTTTACCTTGTATTATCTGTGCGATCACTTAATAGTAGCGATGAGTATATATCTAACATTGCACAGACCTCCTCTCGCTCATGAGAGTGCTTTGATTGGACGATTACTTTTTAAGCCGAGCCACTCAAACATAGCTCAAAACGAATACAAGGGTATTAATCATATTAAAATGGAGATGTCATACACAAGTCGATTGAGGATCCAAGTATCACAGAGCACTACAACCTACTGCTGTTAGGTATTGAACGGTTGGCGAATACAGGTGAATTCATTGAGAAACGAGCACGCCCGAATCCAATCACCCAGTCACAACACTGGTTCCCGTCCTTTCACCGCGGCAGACACCCTTGTCCGCATTCCTCCCCTCGCCGCTTCCTCTATACCCGCCGTCGTCTGTCACACGGGTCACGTGACCTCCTACAGGGCAGACGACACAAGTTTATTTCTTTCTTTAACAAAACATCGGGTGCAAAATTCTTCAAACTCCATAAAGAAAAAGTTATAGACGAAAACGCCAGAAAGAAAACTCGAGTTTTTGTCATATTCAAATCTTTTTATTATGAAAGAAATTCAATTTAGTAGACTTGACAATATACACCAGTACCTCCCCGCAAGGGAGTAACTGGCTGTCTTCTCCAATTGGCTTCTGTCGAGCACGGGGGAGCCCGGTTACCCCAGTTTCACGTGCTGGAATGTAGGTTAACCCTTACAGTGGATTGCATTACGATTGACCAATTTGTAAAATATGAAAGTCGGTTAACCCTTTAAACGTGTTGCATTACGATTGACCTACTTGTATAATATGTAGGTCAACCCTTTGAGTATGGTGTATTGCGACTGACCATTTTGTGAATTATGAATGCCAGTTAACCCCTTCAAAGTGTTGCATCATGTTTCACCAACTTACATAATAATGAATATATAGCAGGTAATTGAATGTATTGCAATACTATACAAAATTAATGTGGCGTAAAGCTAATATATTTTCTTACCGCTGAGCACCCGACATAAACTGTTTAATTAACTTTTTTCATTTTTTACGCGACCTACATGTTAATCTTAATATCTGATAACCCTTTCAATACTCTGTATAATTACGATTGAGAAACTTGATCTCAATATGGTTCAACCCCTTTGAATGTGTCTTATTCATGTGTCTGGAGATCTTCTATATTTGTTTAAGTTGTACATGTGGTAGCATATTATATCTATACTATTTGGTTCATTATTTGTAAACAGGAGGTTAAATTTGTCTGTGGTAGTAAGGCTTTGAAAGTTATTAATTTGAGAGGAAAGGGAGTTAAGGAGTGTCGTGCATCTGAATATTTGGTACAAGACATGAAATAGTGGACTTCATCGTCAAGGACTGAGCATTGATCACAGAGACGGTCCTCCAAAGGTGGATCACGCAGTCTTAGCTTTGTGAAGTGGATACGGTGTTGTTTGTTGTTGTTGTTGTTTTGCTTTTGTTTTTTGGGGGCCTACCAACGGAAACCAACAGTGAAGCCAGTGTGGATCCGGGTTAGAATCGGCCTTCAGTAACCCATGCTTGTCGTAAGAGGCGACTAACGGGGTCGGGTGGTCAGGCTCGCTGGCTTGGTTGACACATGTCATCGGTTACCAATTGCGTAGATCGATGCTCATGCTGTTGATCACTGGATTGTCTTGTCGAGACTCGATTATGTACAGACCGCCGACATATAGCTGGAATATGTATACACACTTTAAATAGAGTGTGTGAGTAACGCTTTACGGTGCCGTTAACGATATTCCAGCAATATCACGGCGAGAAACACCAGAAATTAGCTTCTCACATTGAACCCTTGTAGGGAATCAAACCGGGTCCTTGACGTGACGAGCGAACGCTTAACCACTAAATTACCCCCACCGCCTTCTTTAAAAATAGCCATACAAATTACAAACTTTATATGGGTTTTGCGTCCTCTTGTAACCTGTGTGTCCGTTGCTATTCAAAGGTTTCTATTTCATACAACCAATGGAGTTGTTGTTGTTGTTGTTGTTGTCCTGAGAGTTTATTATATGGCCATTGAAACTCTAGTGATAACGGATGAAAATGTACTCTGTGCGCACACACACACACACACACACTCACACACTTCAAAAGCTGCATCCGCCCCTGGGTTCAACCCATGCAAGTCTGGAATATGTGGCAAATCTTCCTGTTTCTGAAAATCAATAAAGAAAGTCTCGGGGCTCCTTTTTATCATATTAATATAATTTAGGAAGCATTTTCTGTAAAATATGTTCATATGAACTCAAGAGGTCCGTTTCAATCTTTATGATTTTAGGACGTAGTACAGAGTTAAGCACCGAGGTCGCATAAACATCTGCATCTTAAAACTGATGAACGCATTAATAATTCTAAGCCGAGTGAAGGAGAGCTGATTTAATGCATTATGCCGTGGACAAGTATGGTGTCACAACTTTACATAATGCAGATGTGAACATTATTTAGGGTACACTCAAATAAAACATCGTGAGTTATGTGTTTTTAAGGCCGGTTGGCAAACGTTTGCATGTAAGCGTAAGGGACCTGCTATTTAATTATTCGCTGGGGGCTGGGGAGTGGAAGTTTTTGTCTGAGACGGATTTCTTTCAGTCTGAGTTAGTGCTCAGTGCCGCTATGACATGCAGGGTTTTTATTCTTGACAGTGTGAGGCTGTGTGTGTACATGAGTGGTCGGGTGTGTGGTGTTTGGGAGGGAAGGTGTGTGCGTGTGTGCGTGTGCGTGTGCGTGTGCGTGTGCGTGTGAAATCTGAAGCAAAAACATATTTCAGCCTTATGGGTAACCCCAGAATATAAAACGGTCAGCGACTTAAGGATACAACTCAAAAGTACTTAAAGAATACCGGTTTACTGAGTTTCATAGTAGTGTCCAAGAGCGTTAACGTGTCATGGTTTGAGAGATCAACCCTTGTAAAGTGCAGTTATAATGTTTTTTAACCCATTTGAGAACTAAGCATTCGCTGGAACTCGGAGACCTGTGCTCTTGCGGGCGTTTAGCATCCTGCATCTAGAAAGTATGACGCTGTTATCGCCACTAAGTGCCCTTGCTGGGAATAATAGAACTCGGATCTTTGGCGGTAGTAATGCTTTAAGAACTTATTGTGCTGTGGCGCGACTGTCGAACATCCAGATGTTAAATAATCAAATGAGTCTAGATATAAAAAGTGAGTGAGTGAGTTTAGTTTTACGCCACACTCAGCAATACTCCAGCTTTATGGCGGCGGTCTGTAAATAATCGAGTCTAGACCAGACAATCCAGTGATCAACAGCATGAGCATCGACCTGCACAATTGGGAGCCAATGACATGTGTCAACCAAGCCAGCGAGCCTGACTACCCGATCCCGTTAGTCGCCTCTTACGACAAGTATGGGTTACTGAAGGTTCATTCGTACCCGGACCTTCACGGGTAGATATAAAAAGACATGTAATTAATGCTGGCCTTGGTCAATTTTGTTTTTAACAGATGAGGTGGAATGGGTGAGTTTAGTTTTACGCCGCACTCGGCAATATTCCAGCTATATGGCGGCGGTCCGTAAATAATCGAGTCTGGACCAAGACAATCTAGTGATCAACAGTATGAGCATCGATCTGCACAATTGGGATGCGATGACATGTATCAACCAAGTCAGAGAGCCTAACCACCCGATCCCGTTAGTCGCCTCTTACGACAAGCATGGGTTACTGAAGACCAATCCTAACCCAGATCTTCACGGGTTTGAGGTGAAATTATCACACTCACAGAGCGACGTACCAGCATGTACATGATTCCATATAGACAATACAACAAACTACGTTTATAACAAACACGCTTATGACGGACTGACGGATGTACTGTGTTTTGTTCCGGCCACTTTCTGTATATTTTGGGGCCGTTGGGTCGCCTAATGGTTATAAAACGGTCCCTCGTCACCTGGGTTCGATTCCCCACATGGGTACAATGTGTGAAGCTCCCGGGTATTTTAGCATTTCTGAAATTCTGATTCCACACATGGGTACAATAGTTTCGGGCTGTTTAGGGAGTTATTAAGTCGCTCAAGTCTTGAGAAGACCATTTCTGCTTCATTTTGTCTTTTCATACTTGAAGCTGTGACAATGTACCAATGCCCCTCTTCATGAGAATTTTTCTGCCAATGATACGGTAGAAATGATATTGCTGGAATATTGCTAGTCATGCTGACGCCGTTGCTCGACAGGGGCATTGTCTTCTTCAATATATACATCATCATTACCAAAGTCTACAAAGTGCCATTTCTGGTGTCCCCGCCGTGATATTGCTGGAATATTGCTCATTAATTAAACTAAAAGCGGCATAAAACCATACTCACTCACTCACTTGTTCCTTTGAGTTTGTCATGACTATGTATTATTCTGATTATACCCATACAGGAAACCAAGAGCCTGGGTTAGAACTGATATTCAGCTACCCATGAGTCCACTGAATGCGTAGAGTGGTCTGGTCTGACTTCCTTGACACATGTCATCGTATGGAAAGTGCGTAGATAGATGCTCACGATGTCAATCACTGGATTGTCTGGTCAAGACTCGATTATTTACCGTCATGTAACAGGGACTAATGGTAAAAGCGTTCGCTTGTCACGCCGAAGTCCCGGGTTCGATTCCACACATGGGTACAATATGTGAAGACCATTTCTGGTGTCCCCTGCCGTGATATTGCTGGAATATTGCTAAAAGCGGCGTACAAACTAAACTCACTCACACACTCTTTCTGCCTCAATCGTTTTGGTTAACCAAAGAATCGGGTTTGATTTTGCACATGGGTACAATGTGTGAAAAACATTTCCCCCGCCGTGACATGGCTGGAATATTGCTGAAAGCGGCGTAAAACCATACTCACCCTTTATACATAAATGAATATTTGTCAAACTGCTATATTTAGCTGAAGGAAAATCACGCTTGTTATTTCCCCATACATATCCAACATATTAAAAAAAATGTCAGAATTCAGAAAGTGTTCATCTGCCACGATCGACAAGATTTAATCAGACATTTTTATCAGATATAGAAAACTATAATTAGCGTGAACAACAAACGGAATGTTTACATGCGTGATTATCGCGACAATCTGTTATAGATTTACCGCCACAAATCTGTTCCATTCTAAAAGTTCCAAGGTAACCAAACGTTATCACTGAAAGGAATCGATACAATTTCATTACATTAAGTGCTGTAGGACATATTCCGGACAACGCGAGAGGTCGGGCGACGTTGCCGACATTTTCCCAAGAAGTTTTAAGTACCGTCGGTCCCACAAGCAAGAATTACAGACTATTTATCAATACTTTCTGTAAGCGTCAGTCAGTCTCAATTACAGGACAGATGCACTGCGTTCGATCGCCGACCATTCTTTCTAAAGCCAAACACAGCTCCAACACAAAAGGAATAATTCATATGACCACGTGCAACCTGTGCTTTACACGTGCGGCGTAACGCACTAAACATAATTCTCAAGCCTTTCATTACATTACTTGGTTATTTTCTCACACAGATCGGAAGTTAAAGCATAAAACCTCGTTAATGAAAAATACGCTGTAAAACGTCGTGTTTGTCGCTGAAAGCGTGTGAAAGCAGTTCACGTCGACGACCCTGGGAACAATGCTACGCCACGCGACTGACAACTGCACGTGAGGCGACCGACACGCGCCCCCGCCAATCAAACGCTGGCAGCATACAGCCCAAGGGAGGCAACTCCTACAATGACGGACAGCGGGTCAACGAGAACGGCTTTTCTCATGGGGGTGGAAATGAATCGGAAGGTAAATTTCCATGATAAAATAAATTATTGTCAGCCATCTGTCATGTTTGCTTGACATATGGGTTCCAGCCGTGAAACAAAAAAAGAAACGTGTTTTCAGTTTTAATCGTATGCAATCTCATTTAATATTTCTCGTGATTTTCTCGTATTTTCTTTCAAACGATGTTACCTGGCACTCGACTAGGGTACTGGGCAACAAAACAACTAAATTATCTTGAAAGGTATCACTCTCTTTTTATATTATGAAACAGTTAAATAAACCAGACGAAGAAAATATTCGTTCGTGCTGCATAGTTTGACGAAGCATAATTAATTTCAATTAATAACTTTCTCAGACTTACTACCACTGAAAAATTTAACCTCCTTTATAGAAATAATGGTCCAAATAGTATAGAAATTATTTGCTACCACATGTACAACTTTAAACAAATATAGAAGATATGATTGTGCTAAGCCATTATTATTATTATACACATTTGTATTATTATATGTTTTATTGCGCATCATATATATGTGATTCTTTATATATCTTGTTTATGTAGTTTATAGAATATTGTCACTGTTTCTGTATTGAACGTTCGCACAATAAATATTTTATCTCTTATCTTTATCTCGTTTCTTTTATTCCGCGAATTTTAATATTAGACGCAATCCATGTGAAAAGAACCATGAAGATTGAAGATTCGATACATGAACCTGTGGGATAGAGTAGACTACAATATGTTAGCAATGCATAAATAAAAAAACGACAAAACACTATTAAACACAAATTAAAACTCCTGATAATTCCAGATAACCTGCCACGTATTCATTACATGACCAACATTAGTTTCCTAATATTCAAAACTTTCAACATTTGTCACGTTAGGAAACTGACTTGTACAATTAACTGACGGTTCAGAACAACCACCGCCTTAAGTCTCGTCACACCACGCGGATTCTCACGCTATTTCGCATCGCGTGAGATTTCGCGACAAGGTTTAACAATTTCGTATCGGTTGTTTCTCATTATCAGAGGAATGATTCTTATCTTCACAGATTAGAAAATTTAATCAACTTGTTTGATCCTCAAGTATGTGTTATATTTCATGTGAAGTTTGATTTCAGATAAAAGACCGAAATTTCTTTAGCGATGATATCGGTTCTTGGGCTGCGCTGAATTATTTAATAAAGACCACATTAAATACCGTGGTCTTGTATATTGTAATGAGATAAAAATATGGAACTTTGTAAATATTTCCGGCAAATCCATAGGTAATCTCAGAATATGAATGTTTTATTTAAAAGAAATGTTTCGTGTGAATCCATAGGCTTTGTTGAAGAAAAAATCACTTTCCTCTAAAATAAAGTCAGAAATATTTTAAACAAGAGTCATCAGAAGATGACATATCCCCCCGGCCCCTACATATTTGAAAGAACAAATCATCTGACAGTTACTTAAAGTCCAGCTTGATTTTTGTTAGACTAAGTCCAAATCGTTTCCATGGAAATCATGAGTAATATAAATGCCAAATATCTGTAAATAGCAAAAGGCACCATTTCAAAATTTCCCTAGCATATCTGCCAAGTTCTGTTGAAAGATACTGAACTCTTTTCAAGGTGTGCTCCGGATATGAAGCCCACCCCTCCCTTTTGGGACTAAGTCCGAATCGTTTCCATGGAAACCAGGAAACACAAAAATGCAAAAAATCTGCAAATAGCAAAAGGCACAACTTTAGGATCTGTTTGATATATCTACCAAGTCTTGTTGAAAAGTATTGAACGGTTTTTGAGTTATGCTCCGGAAACGAAGCCCACCCCTCACTTTTGGGACTAAGCGGGAAAAATACCGGGGGGGTTAAAAGGTATACTGAAAGGTATGAAATGTGTGCTGTAACAGTGCTCCTACTGCACTTCCAGTATTTCCATTGCCAAAAGAATATTATTGATAATACAAGTGTAACTCTGTTTTGTGGATAGTAAATACGTTATTTCAAATTTCCTGGATCTCTGTAATTAGATGAAAAGAGAATAGCTGTTAAACAAAAATAAAATTATTAGAAATATATATATTACCTTGATGTTTCACTCTAACATCACAGCAAATAGTTGTTTGATGCATTTGATATGTGTATTTATCTGCCTTGGTGTTAGGTAAACTCCATCGCGTAAACACGGAATAGTTCAATCGCTATTTGTATATATTTTAACAGCCGATAATTTTGATTGAAAGTTTCATTCAGAAAAATGCATTTGAGGTACAGGCGTGTATAACAAACTGTTTGTCTATGCACTCGGTTACGGTACCTTAAATGGAGTTATTTTGATTAGAATATATAGTATGCCCCGCCGCATTGAAGCCTGCATTGGTTTCCCAACAGTAAAATGTTAGGCAGTAGGGGCACTTGACCGGCCCACATGAGGTGATGACAGCATGGAGATAGGACAGGGCTTAACAGGAGGGCCAATAAATATGCCTTTCACTTATAGCGTTATCTGATGGTTGTATGATGTGACATCTAATTGGTAATGACCCCAGCACGTGTAGCCCCAATGCAGATGTTCTTAGTCTCTGAATCTCTGGTCTCCCTAGGGCTCCTTTTCAATATAAATGGGCTTGTTTGTTACTATCCAAATTATATATATTCAGAGACTAAGCCTTAGTCTACTACCCATGTAGTCTGTCTCACAGTCCCTGAACAACATTATTTTCCCTACTGCCTAGCCCCTCTCTGCAGTGCTAAAGCCCTAAATAAAGCAAGTCTAGATTTCCTCAGGTTCAGGGTCTGTTAACATCTGCAAGAAAACTAACTCACTTTGGGGGTCGGGTTACAAAGTAAACATATCTAACTATCATGGCTGGCCGGACCAACATCCTCACCAGTGGTCTGGAATCTTGCCCTCACATTTTCATCTGTCAACTCTTAATTAACAAGCACATTGGGTGACATGAAGCTATAGTGGAGTCCTTGTGCACAGTTTCTGGTTTGAAGAGACAAATCAAGCAAAATCTTGGGGAAAGGTTACTCCTGAATGTTATGTTGTAAAAAGTATTGTTTCATTGTCTAACTTGGGTCCACACATAGCAGCCCAATTGTTAATGCGGTTAAGGATTTAATTGTAATTAAAACAAGGGTTATTTTTCTTATTCCTGATATAAGATTATTATGTGAAACTCTGGTGTGTTTTGAGTATCTCTTTTTATCTAATTGCTCAACAGTAAAACATATGGCAGGGACTTAGCACTCATGAAGAGTGAGTGAGTGAGGTTGGGTTTACACCGCATTCAGTAATATTCCATATATGGCGGCGGTCTGTAAATAAGTCGAATCTGGACCAGACAATCCAGTGGTCGACAGCATGAGCATCTACGCAATTGGGATACAATGACATGTGTCAACCAAGTCAGCAAGTCTGACCACCCGACCCTGTTAGTCGCCTTCTCGTGAAGAACCAAATTCAAAAGGCACAGCATCTCGGAATTAAATCTGTTTACCTTCGTGATGTGACGCATGCAAGGTGAAATCTAGTGAGGATGATCTAGTATCTAGAAATACCCAGAACATCTTCAAGCGTAAGACAGACGCTGGCCTTTTCACTTCCATTGAACAGTTTGTTTAAAAAAAGGTGGTTATCTATATCCTCTTCGCATATTATACAAATGGAAACTTTTGAATTTGGAGATAAGTTCAAATTCATAAATAATTTTGTTGGTGTTCCACACAGATCTTGCACCTTGGTCATCTAGTGTCAAAGTGACATTGTGGGCTGCAAGTTTCCCAACAGTAAAATGTTAGGCAGTAGGGGCACTTGACCGGCCCACTACCCATGGTGACTTGACAAAATACTAACTGTTCACCAGATGTTCTTTGAATCTGGAGTTATGTTCTACAAATTATAATATTCACTTATTAATGACGTGAGTAATGAGTGTAATGAGTGAAAAAAATATAAAAATTACAATCTTTAAATTCTCAATAATTTCTGGTTGTACTGTATATCTATGTTACCGAGACTGTCAACTAGTCTTACTGACGGGAAAACGTGACTGTTAACTAAAGAGTTTTCTTTATGACATGTCAACGGGAAAACGCGACTGTCCAATAGCCTGCTTTGGTTATGACATATACAGTACTGACAGGATCACACGACTGTCAATAGCCTTAAGAAATTAAGGAAGTTATGACATAATCAAGTACAGTAAAATATTCTGCCGATGTTCCAACTCACGGAGAACGTATAATTGTGACCAAGACCTTGACCCGAAATTTACTTCATCGTGCATCTTCTGAGAAAATCAGCAGGGGACGAAAACCTGCTATGTTCAAGTGTAGACAAATATACTTCCTGACAACCTCTGAAGACTTAACTTTTTGACACATGATAGCATCAGCATACATAGAGGACCCCCGCTAAGTGTAATTTCAGCTCATTTGTTATTATCATTAATTTACATATATGTATGGGGAAAGTAGTCAAAATATTATACTAATACCACACACGTTTCAGTGCCTCTAACATGAAGGTTTAGCTATGTGTGCAATGTAAATCTCTCTCTCTCTCTCTCTCTCTCTCTCTCTCTCTCTCTCTCTCTCTCTCTCTCTCTCTCTCTCTCTCTCTACTTTAACTCACTCACGTGCGCACGTGGTCGTCTCAAACTGCCACAAATGTTAATGGTTTTTAAAACATAGAAATAAACGTAGACAATTTTGTCTTTCACTTCCAATGCAGGCGTACATCTGGTATATAATTACAAACACAGAGCTTCTTTCTCAAAAGCAGAAACCTTTTACTTTATTTACATGTAACAAACTGTACACGGTGGTCAGAGAGCGTGTTTAGATACAGTGCAGGGTATATATCAGATTTCAAAGCACGGCAGTGGGTTATGATGAGTTATCGCACACTGACCCCTATCCCGTCACTTGGTCCTACTCGGACCGGTCAGTTCTCACGCCCGACCCCCGCGGTGCGTGACACGTGACAGCTTTATGCGGACCTGTCTTGAAGACGTCCATGTTCTCGTGGGATGCAGGTTTTAAATGGGTTGCGTCCTGTCGCTTCGTTTATTTGACTTGATGGATAAAAGACCCACCGAGAGTGTCGATCCTGTCAACTCTTTCCGTGCCAATATTTAACTGCATATGTATTTACACTTGACATCTAAAGGTTTCTAAATAGGGCAATTTATTCCCGGACCGATGCATGCATATTTATTTGTGCTTTCATCTGTTTTTGTATTGATAAGATCTGCTACCATGGTAGCGTCGAAAGGGCATTTCTTTTATCATATGAATGTCTCTCCAAGCATGAAAACAGTATATATTAATGTTCATATATCGTAAGTAAAACCTGACCAAGGGTTTTAATTAGGATGCCTCTACATTTTGATGAAAGCTCCATATTCTCTTTGAAGATAATGGTATAGACTGTCCTTAAGAAGGTTCAGATATGTGTTTTTCTACTGCGACCGGAACTTAAGGTCCTAATCTTTGATGTGGAAATGGAGAAAATACACTTATTGAGTGTTTCCATATTTACTGCGATTCCTGTCGCTAAACAAACAGATGTTCCTCAAAACAAGTTTTTTTAATCGCGGACTTGTGATTATTATTATATTTATAAAGTGGGAGAAAAACATGATAAAATTCATAGGTTGTAGTCCGTCCGGTTGTTTTAACCTTAAAAATGTGTTCCTGCAACCAGTTGTGAACAAGTTCGACCTGAAACTCGATCAGCTGGATCAATTAGTGCAATGGTTCTGCACGGGAGATTTTGTTAGACTTAGTCTCTGAATATATATATTATAATTTCGATAAATAAACAACAACAACAATTTCTTTTAAATTGAAATGGAACCCCAGTGGGAGACCCTGAACCTGTGGAAATCTAGATTTGCTTCATTTAGGGCTTTAGCATGGCAGAGGGGGCTAGGCGGTAGGGAAAATAATGTGGTTCAGTGACAGTGAGTTGAATTGGGCCTTACGTCACATCGACATTATCCCAGCCATACAGTGACGAGATCAAGTCTGCAATCATACAGTTTAATAGACTGTGAGACAGACCAGAGGTCTTGTGTACGGTTGAATTTGTGGCTCGTATTTCTTTGTAGCATCCACCTCCTGTTTCCGTATCTCGGTACCCCGAAGACGTTGATTCGAATAATTTATTTATCCACCTGTAATTGATTTCGATATTTTATTTAAAGCCTGTCTGCTTCGTGAATGCCCGACAGGTAGAACAATGAATTCCTCTAACAAGGGTGTATTTAATAACTGTGTATTATTCATACGAAAGTCGTGAGAAAGTATTTCAAAGACAACGTGTAAAATCGATTCTTACTTAACGCGATATATACCACATATCCATGTTTGAAAGTTTGGGGGTATTTCTCAAGTCCAAATGATGTCGAAATTCTTACATTAATCAACCGTGAAGATCTGGGTTAGAATAGGTCTTCCGTAACCATACTTTTCGTAAGAAGCGACTAACGGGATCGGGTGGTCAGGCTCGCTGACTTGGTTGACACATGTCATCGTATCCCTAATGCGTATAGATCGATCTGGCTGACTGGCTGAGTATGGTTTTACGCCGTTTTTAGCAATATTGCAATATCATGGGGACACCAGAAATATCAAGTTGTACCCATGGGGAATCGTTCGGGACTTCGGCGAGAACATACTTTTTCATGGGACATTATCACCAGCATTACTTATGCGTGAACATTAAGTATAATAAAAATTATATTAAACATGCTTTATACGTGCGGCGGTATGGCCTTGTGGTTAAGAAGTTTGCTCTTCACGCCTCCACCCAGGTTCGATTCCTCACAGGAGTTCAGTTTCTGAAGCTCATTTCTATTCATAATGGATCAAGTACAAGTCATCACATCCTTAACTTCCCTCTCTGAAATGTATGTACAACAAATTACACAGAATTTACATCTGGTAAGTGGGATATGTTTATATCAGCATATTTACTTATATCACACAGATCCTCCAGTCCTTGTTATGAACATTTAACCGATTGAGTCATATCGGTATTTCTATGAAATGTACACATTATTGTATGTTTTATTGCCCTGCTTCATTATATATCTTGTTTATGTAGTTTATAGAATATTGTCACCGTTTCTGCATGGAACGTTTGCGCAATAAAATATCTTATATCTTATTATTGCTCCTCACTTACGTAAACATTACATTGCCACACACTCACTCACTCAAGTCCACATCAATGCGTTGTTCCTCTAGTACAATCTTCGTAAAAGATCATTTCCGGAACAGTTTTAAGATTGACATTACACGAAGTATTCATATCAGTTTTCAAATGTGTAAGCGCAGAGTGATAAAAAATAATACAAATTCATAGATTGATATGACAATGAAATCGCTTGCGTAGCCATTCAACAAGAGATAACGCTCCAGGTTGATAGACTACAAAAGGTAGGATGCACTGAGAGGCAATGCTTCCTGTCTGTGGCGTGGGAAAACCCCAGTGTATGGGACACGGTAAGGCGACTATGATGTCCGTGTGTGGGACGTTACATGCTATATACGTATACACTACTCATGTGTCTGTCATGCCCCGTTATACATCAGGTATGGGATAAAGCATCCCACATAACTGATTGATCTTGGAATAACAGAATAAGATCAATTTTGCATTTTATTATTCAGTTTCATAATTTCGGAATCCTCTTCATTAAATGTGTTCCCAGGAACAGCAGAATAAGATAATTTGAATTTTACTATCCAGTTTCATATTTTCGCAATCCCATTCATTAACTGTGTTCCCTGGAACAGCAGAATATGATAATCTTTTTATTATTATTCAGTTTCATATTTTCGGAATCCTCTTCATTAAATGTGTTCCCAGGAACAGCAGAATAAGATAATTTGAATTTTACTATCCAGTTTCATATTTTCGCAATCCCATTCATTAACTGTGTTCCCTGGAACAGCGGAATATGATAATCTTTTTATTATTATTCAGTTTCATATTTTCGTAATCCTCTTAATTAAATGTGTTCCCAGCAACGCCGTCGACCCGTGGTTACATGTCCACGCAGGTGATGTTTAAAATCGGCGAGTTTTGAACCAGGCAGCTATGAATGATACGGTTGATTGGCCGTACACAATGTGATCACTGGCTCGCTCGTTGTCTTCAATGTACTCCTTGTTTCATAAACACGGCATTACAGAATTACAATACCATACATGATTGTGTCCGTACTTCCTAGTTGGGACTAAGTGGTTTTACCTTTTGTCTCATAGCAATAACTTGATATTCCCGCCCGAACACGATGAATGGTCATTTGAAGTTACGGTCATGGGTAGCCCAGTGGTTTAAGTGTTCGCTCGTCACGCCAAATGCCCGGGTCGATAGATACCTCATGTGGGTACAAGTATGAATGCAATTGGTGGTGTTCCCAGCGACATTGAACGTTAGTGCTGAGTTAACGTGAGTTTAGTTTTACGCCGCCTTAGCAATATTCCAGCAATATTACGACAGGGGACACCAGAAATGGGCTTCACACATTGTACCCATGTGGGGAATCGAACCTGGGTCTTTAACGTGACTGGCGTACGCTTTAACCACTAGGCTACCCCACCGCTCCAGTGTGAAAAGAAGGTGGTGACGGATTGAGTTAAGCAAATAACAATAAGGACTGCTGACCTTATAATTTCTTTTAATTTTGTTTTATAGTCTCTCGTAAGCCTGAATGGATAACTCAATATAACAGTTTACAAAGATTTTATACCATAATACTATTTTGTGAAACGAACAAGATCGGAATGGCGGGAGCGCTCGTAAAATGTCCATCATCATCATCATCATCATCATCATCATCGTCGTCGTCGTCGTCACCCAACAACTTCATGTTCCCCACTTTGATCTTTCATAAATTTGACCAAACAGACCCAACGGAATACCTTGCCCTCATTAGGCATTCAGTTACAAGAAAAATACGTTCCGTCACATTCAGAGTGAGAGAGGGAGTCCTACGCCGTATTTAGCAATAATCCCGCAACATCACGAGGGGGAACACCTGAAATGGGCTTCACACATTGTACCCATGCTCGTTGAAAGAGCATCATTTACACATGGACTTGACGTCGTATCTTATAAAGTGATTTCACATTACTACATTTCCGGAAACCCTGAGAGATATGAAACGTTATCGTCCGTGATGTATTGCCACATTCTTACTATGCAACTTTCGTTACAATTTCTGATTGATTACACCAATACAATGTGCTTTCAAAGTTTTTTTATCGAAGAGTGTAGATATATTTGACTTTAAACTTTTTATCAAAAACGTTTATAAATGTTTAAAAAGCTACAGCATTCCTCAAGGTTTTAAACTTTTATCAGCTAATGTTGATACATTTATATATTAGATATATCAACAGTCGTAGATAAATATTTAAAACGCCCCCGCAAGCCTGAAAGTTAAAACTTTTATCGACGAATTTGATATATTTGATATCAAAAGACACTTGGTTGAGATTCCGAAACTCTTTTAATCTCTACGAAGATCTACGAAAATCTAAGATTGACGAAATGGAAATGAAACAAAAGTATTCTGCAATCGATTTCGGTTCCGTAATTTCTGTATGCCTTTGTCATTTTGTAATCCACATCAAATTAGGTATGTTTGTCTCAAATCAAATACAGAATAAATTTTAAAAATGGTTACTTTTATACAGAAACATATAGTAATCCATCATTATTTTCTTCCAGTATGTAAATGAAACAGTACACACGTTAATAAAAAAATTAACAAAATGACGTATGCCGTATTAAAGGAATTGCCAATAATTACTGTCAGAAAAATCAATGAATAATTAACGGAATTGGTTTTATTCTCCAAGTTCCTGTCTGGCTTTTCACGAACACCTGTCTTCCCATAATGCATTATTCATATCTCGTTTGTATTTCCTAAAACCTATTTTGCTGAAATCACTATCCCCTGAATGTCGTTGATTAATTATTGAGTGGCAGTCACTTCATGCACACGAGAATAAAGGGAAGTTTTACCATCTATACCACGCCGTACGGATCACCTCCGTGGGAATGTTGAATCCACGGAATCTCAGGTATTCTTAGATCACCGACAGACCCATTTAATTTGTCCTTTTCATAATAGTTTTCCCAAGACTATAGGTGTTCAAGCCCCAGAGAATTGTTGGAGAATCAAATCACTCGGCATTTATTAAACATACAATCAATCCTCGGTACAGTATGTGTGTATGCTGGATGTGACGACAGTTTAAACGAGTGCAGTGTTTGATAAAGGTGTGAGAATGTGGGAAGTACATGTATTGTTGAAATAGGGGTGTGAGTGAGTATGGTTTTACGCCGCTTTTAGCAATATTCCAGCAATATCACGGCGGGGGACACCAGAAATGGACTTCACACATTGTACCCATGTGAGGATTCGAACCCGGGTCTTCAGCGTGATGAGCGGACGCTATAACCATTGGGCTATAACCATTGACAAACGTGGATCTGGTAGACCAAGGGTGACACAAGACGGTTTCAACAGAACGACCGTGCTACGAAACACACTGTCTCTCAAATTGGAGGTGATCTTCACAGTTTTATGCCACACTCAGCAATATTCCAGCTATATGGCTGCGGTCTGTAAATAATCGAGTCTGGACCAGACAAGCCAGTGATCAACAGCATGTGCATCGATCTACGCAATTTGGTTACGATGACATGTGTCAACCAAGCCAGGAAGCCTGACCATCTGATCCCGTTAGTCGCCTTTTACGACAAGCATGGGTTGCTGGAGACCAATTCTAACCCGGATGTTTGCTTAGTTATTCCGAGTGAGTGAGTGAGTTTATCTTTACGCCGCCTTTAGCAATATTCCAGTAATATCACGACGGGGACACCAGAAATGGGCTTCACATATTGTACCCACGTGGGAATCGAACCCGGGTCTTCGGCGTGACGAGCGAACGCTTTAACCACTAGGCTACCCCACTGCCCCTCAGTTATTCCGAACCTATTTTCTGCGGAGTAGTGAAAGACAAGTGTCCATTTCTATGGTAAATGAAAACCAAATTTCATGATCAGTGTGAAGTTGTGTGATTTTATTGGTTTACCAAGCTGTTACAATTTAATTTCAGCTGCGACTCATCTTTTGAGAAAAATTACAGTATTGGTTCACACCGAATCTCAAGCTGACATAAGTCAAATAAATTCATAATAAAATAGAACCCATTTCTTCTGTGAAAGTGGGACGCAACATTTATACACATACATATGTACAGATTAAACAGTGTCCAACATAACTCTCACACACAGGTATTAAAGCGAGGGGTGTGTCTTGTGTAGAAGAATGGTACCATAAGTACACGTACAACTCATTCATCCTCTATGTGGTTGGTTTATCTAGTACTTGGGCCTAGATTTTCGAAGCTCTCATAGGGCTAAGATAGTCGTAAGTGCCATACATTAACTTTAACTTACGACTATATTTAGCGCTAAGAGAGCTTCAAAAATCTAGACCCAGGAAGGAGGAATGAAAGACCATATCCCGCTCCACTAAGCGTTCGTAGCACTACGATGGTAAGTCCCATATTTTAACATAGACTTAAGATCGTTGTTGCGCTAAGACCAGTTGATGCGAGTGGGCCCAGTGCCCTGTTCAACAAAATGTTCGTAGTACTATGATGGTCTTAACTCCCATACTTTAACAGACTTAAGATCGTTGTTGAGCTAAGAGTGAGTGAGTGAGTGACTTTAGTTTTACACCGCTTTTAGCAATATTCCAGCAATATCACAGCAGGGACACCAGACATGGCCTTCAAACACTGTACCCATGTTGCGCTAAGACTACTTGGTACAAGTGGGTCCAGTGCCCTGTTTAGCAATGTGATCGTAGCAGTGGGAGTGAGGGAGCGCATGGTTTTACGTGGCTTTTAAATTGGGTTTTGCGGGTAGTGAAAGACGTGTCCTGCTTGAGGATATGAAGTTGCTCATTTATTGGTGCGGCTGCTTGTATTAGCCCAGACTTAAGCTCGTTTTATAGTGCTAGCCCACTGAGATACCATGCCGCAGTGAAGCATGAATACCCCACTCAGACACATTATACGGACTCCGAGCTGACCAGTCCTTGCTGTACCCATTAATGCGGAGAGCCAGGCAGGAAGGAGGAATGGGACCAACAAGTACCATATTTTAACATCTTTTGGTATGGCTTTCGGGGATCGAACCCGCGACCTTTGTTTAGCAATGTGACCGTAGCAGTGGGAGTGAGGGAACGCATGGTTTTTCACATTATTCCAGCAATATCACGGCAGGGAACACCAGAAATTGGCTTCACACATTGTACCCATGTGGGAAATTGAACCCGGGTCTTCCGGGTGATAGCACTACGACTGTCATAAGTCTATGTTAAAGTATGGGGACGATGATCATCTTCACACTAGGATCACTTCCTGGAACAAGCCCCAATTTCGTAAAATCAGTTTTTATCACCTGAGAACCAACAGTTTTAAAAAAAAAAAGCTCATGGCATTAATACAGAATTTTGCAAACATGAAAAGTATCAATTTAAAACATCAACTGAATAAAGTACTTAAGTTCAGTTAAACAATGTTTTTTTCGGATTGAAATGTCATCCAACTGAGAAATCACTCTCCATATTAACAAACGTTTGTGCAGTAAATCAGATTAAAACATCAAAACACCATGAAATACTTTAGAGGAAACCATTGTCTCTTAAACATGGAAGCCTCTCATAGTGTTCATTAAAAAAAATGTTTACATTACACGATTAAATATATTTGGGAAAGCAGAGGGAATCAGTCCAATTGGTTTCTTTATGTATAAACATTTGAGAAAAACCCTTGTACTTGAGCCCATGAGCTTAATCTTAAGTATATACATCCTGGTAGTACAGCTACCAGTTGATTGTTAAATGAATTACAACATCATGCTAAGTGTGTGTGTGCTGTAGTCTGATTTGTTACACAATCTGAAGCCTAAAATGGCTTTCTTGACTTTTCACTGCATATGAATGCTTTCAAATTATTGTTTGGTGTTCTGTTGGAGGTGAGGTGAGGTGAAATTGGGTTTAACGTTGTGCTTGAGAATATTTCGCTCATATGACGACATGCATGTGTATGTGTATGTGCGGCTGCTTGTACTAGCCCAGGCTTAAGCTGGTTTTATAGTGCTAGCCCACTGAGATACCATGCCGCAGTGAAGCATGAATACCCCACTCAGACACATTATACTGACTCCGAGCCGACCAGTCCTTGTTGTACCCATTAATGCCGAGAGCCAGGCAGGGACCAACAAGTACCATATTTTAATGTCTTTTGGTATGACGCGGTCGGGGATCGAACCCGCGACCTTCCGCTCTCCGGGCGGACGCTCTAACCACTACACCATGGAGGTGGCTTGAGGTATGGGAGATCACCTTACCACTAAGATCGCTTTGTACAACAGAACCTGTGTGTTCCATTTTTTTTTTAAAAACAACATTGTGATGTGACTTTATGTATTTGATTCATGGTTTTGTTATTTCAGTACAATTTGAAGGTAGCTTCATTATTTTTCAGGACCTAGATTTTCGAAGCTCTCTTAGAGCTAAGATAGTCGTAAGTTAATGTTAATGTATGGCACTTACGACTATCTTAGCGCTAAGAGAGCTTCGAAAATCTAGGCCCTGGTCATCAAGTGTTTCTTTTCCCATAAGTGACATAGGTAGCCTAGGAATCTAAGGCACCACTACTGCTGTACAGAGTTACCTCCCTTAGGCATGCCAGAAACCTGGTAGTATTGGTTGGAATCCCAGACTCACTCTCAACATCTTCCTTGGTCTGTGAGCACAACACCCATGCTCCTGGTTACATTTGATTTTAGGTTTTATAAAGATATTTCAGTATTGATATGAAATAAAGCAGGAAAATCAATTTTCAAGGCAGTATGAAGAGTTTGACACATAAAAAATATATATGTTACCAGAGGGTATCAACATTATTTCCAATTAAAGCAGCATACCCAAATTAAATTTGATAAGGGGAGATAACTCTTACCCAGGTTTACCTCAGGATAAATGCTTGTGTACCCTTTCTTTGTTAGTGTTCAGTAACCAAAATGATTAGAAGCAAGGTAAAGGGAAATAACTGCGTAACATGAAACTAACAGAAACGCGTTTTAGGTGCCTGACTCTGAGCATGTGGGTTTCAATCCCAGGTGGGACTCAACCCAACAAAAATATTAGAATCTGTTCTTTACAGAGAGTGTAATCCAAAATACAACCTAAGTTACATCTAAATGGCAGTGTGTTCATAATTTCACTGAGTGAGTATGGTTTTACGCTGCTTTTAGCAATATTCCAGCATTATCACGGCAGGGGACACCAGAAATGGGCTCCACATATTGTACCCATCAGTGTTTCCGTTCTCCAGTATATACCTGAAAATCGTCGGTAAAATTTGTTGGGGACCGGTAAATTGAAAGCCAGCCGGACACCGTGTCCGGTAAATAATCATGTATTAAAATAAAAAAATCATGGGTAAGCGAAATGACAGTCTTGGCTGTGCTTTCATGGTCGCAATAATTGTTATGTTTCGGAAATACCCAGGCTAAAAATAACTTTAAAATGAGTACTAACAGTATGGTAATAGGATATGACCGGCAAATTTCATTCATGACCAGTAAAGGTTTAGGTTGCCAGACAGTGTCCGATAAATAATTTAGAGAATCTAACCCATGTAGAGAATCTAACCCAGGTCTTCGACATGATGGGTGAATGCGAATGCTTAAACTACTAGGCTACCCTGCTGCCCCTAATTTCACTGAGAACCCTCCCATCAGGAATAAAGGTGTACACTGTATTTACTGATTCAAGGTGAATACAGCTGATGCAGTACCCTCCCCATTCAGGGGCAGATAATCCATACCTCCTTGAGTGTATGTAAGTAGATACCAGGGATGAGAGGCTGAATGTCGTCTAGCTGCTCTGTTTCCGAAGCCGATCATACACAGTCTGATTATCATCAACAGAGAGCACATGAGAGAACTGATCACACACTCGACTGAAGTGACTTCCTTCCCAGAACACCTTGCCACAGTCTGCACAACAGTAGAACATTTCTACACTCTCAAACTTGGACTTGTGGACGGCCTCCACCTGAAGTGGTGCTCCGCTTGTTGCCACGGTAACTGTGCCCCAGTCCACGTCATATTGCTGAAGGAAGTGGGCGCCATCAGCTGACATGTTCCCCAGCATGGAGGCTACATTGTTGGATGACTTAGTTCGACTTTTCTGAGATTCGAGCTGTAATTTTCTGTCGTAAAGTATCTTCAGGTCCGAGGCTGGGATTTGTAGGTACTCATCACCGTTACAGACCTGTAAACAGTGAGGGAAGATGAGGGAAGGTGAGGGAAGGTTAGGGATGGGACATAAAATCAACTCAGTTAACAGTGAGTGAGTGAGTGAGTGAGTGAGTGAGTGAGTGAGTGAGTGAGTGAGTGAGTGAGGGGACACCACAAATGGGCTTCACACATTGTACCCATGTGGGGAATCGAACCTGGGTCTTAGGCGTGACGAGCCAACGCTTTAACCACTAGGCTACCCCACCACCCCCAGATAACAGAGAGTGTAAGTGAACATAAGACACAAATTCAGTCCTTTTACAACATCAAATTTCACAAGCAAGAGATCGTAGTTGACGGAGATGTACATAGCAACAAGAAGACAAAGTCATCAATATCCCCCGCAATGGCAAAATATTCTTCATGAATATGTCTACGAGTTATGATTATATCAAATGTATTGGTGTGTATATAGCAAAGTGGAAGGAGAGTACTGAAAGGTTTCAAAGTTCTGCTCCAGAAAGGAGCACTACCACCAAATTCAGTTGAGGCCAAAAGGCAAAAGGCACCAGTTCACCAGTAGACCTACCTATGCATGAAATTTGGTGATGAAACAGTCAACAGTTTTAAGCTCTGCTCCGGAAAAGAGCACTACCACCAATTTCAGTCAAAGTGAAACTTGTTACTATATTTTATTCAGAAATCCAAAACTACCAAAAGGCACCAGTACCCCACCAGATCTATCTATGTGCCACGTTTGGTGAAGAAACATAGAACGGTTTTAGAGTTCTGCTCTGGAAAAGAGCACTACCACCAATTTCAGTCTATGTCCAACTTGTTACCATGGAAACACAAAAATATTTTATTCAGAAATCCAAAACTACCAAAAGGCACCAGTAGACCACCAGATCTATCTATGTGCCAAGTTTGGTGAAGAAATATTGAACGGTTTTAAGTTATGCTCCGGAAAAGAAAAATGTGCACGGATGCACGCACGGACGGACGGAGTCCATTTTAATACCCCCGAAAAACGCGTTGCAGGGGATAATGAACCAATCACCATAAATATTTCCTGGCCAGTCGGACAGAGGCATTTCAGATTCTTTAACCTGACAGAAAGTTTACTAGCTGCGAGCCAGCAGGGCAGCAGTTATTTCGCACACTGACTTCCACACCACATAGCTAGAATATTCCTCAGTACAACTTCAAGCAACAAACATATCAGTGAACAGAACGTGTAAGTGAATGAAGAGACATAAAATCATGTCACCTTTTTATACAATAAGTGAAGCAACAAATCTCTGTGGAAATGGATGGAACGTCAATGTTGAGCTGGTTTTGAAACTTAGGGGTATTTTCAAACTCAATGCGTCTACAAATTTCCAGCTATGTAGCTGTCGTTGATGTGAAAATGAAGTGACATTTTTACAACAGTGGTATGTTAAAAGTCAAAGTCAACTGGATAAAAACACAAAAATTAGACTAAACAGAAGTATTTCATATTATGCAAAAGCCACATACTTGCTAAAAAGATTAACAGACAATATAACAATGCATGTGGAAATGGCCGAGGTAGTCCAAAGATGTCATGGCAACCATATTTAAAACGGCAAGAGTGAGTGAGTGATTTAGTTTAGTTTTACACCGCACTCAGCAATATTCCAGCTATATGACGGCGGTCTGTAAATAATCGAGTCTGGACCAGACAATCCAGTGATCAACAGTATGAACATCAATCTACACAACTGGGATAAGATGACATGTGTCAACCCATTCAGCGAGCCTTACCAAGTTAATGTCAAATGAAGGACAACACAACATAATCCCAATCAACTTACAGTCAGGAGAGCTAGACATTACTCCAGACAAACAAATATCCTTAAGACCATGTGACCTGTGTTTTTCTTCAACCAGAGCTTCCATTACTGACCTGACATCGACTGAAAATGTCCTTCTGTGTGACCTTGACATTGAAGTGTTTGAGGACCTCCGTGGCCTGTTCACCGGCCTTTTGAGAGACAACATTGTAGCACATCGCCTCTCCCACGTGGGACCGAATCTGAAGCCAAACATGTTATTATTCTTTAACTCTGACACGCCATTTAAGACATTCATTCCATCAGTAGATGTTCTCTGTCAGGCAGAGGTGAGGTGAGGTGAAATTGGGTTTAATGTCGTGCTTGAGAATATTTCGCTCATATGACGACGTGCATGCGTGTGTATGTGTATGTGCGGCTGCTTGTACTAGCCCAGACTGAAGCTGGTTTTATAGTGCTAGCCCACTGAGATACCATGCCGCAGTGAAGCATGAATACCCCACTCAGACACATTATACTGACTCCGAGCCGACCAGTCCTTGTTGTACCCATTAATACCAAGCACCAGGCAGGGACCAACAAGTACCATATTTTAACGTCTTTTGGTATGATGCGGTCGGGGATCGAACCCTCAACCTTCCGCTCTCCGGGCGGACGCTCTAACCACTACACCACAAAGGCAGTTTGTCAAGCAGAGAGGGCAAGTAGTCTCAAGGCCACATCCTCATGTATGCCACTGAGAACCAATAATGGGGTATTTGGGATCCAGTCTACCCTGGAATCATACAGTTTAGTCTGGTTTGGTTGTTGTTTAACCCACCCAGCAATAGTGGTTGTCCGATTAATTGAAATAATCGAAGCTTGGTCTCAGTGACAAAACAGCCAAGCAATTATCACATTTTCTCATAATCGAACACAAACGATTTTGGAACTACTGTTTTAGTGTTTGAAACACTAGATGATGGAACACATCTTAGAAGTTGTCGGGGTCTGAAAACGTGTTTAATTCTTAGAAAACTGAAAAGTCGTGACTGAATATTTCTTGAAGACTCCAGGAAGTCTAAATAAAACAAAACACAAGAGAGATCCACGTTATACTTATCTGCAATAAAAGCTGAATGGGGAAATCTGAAAATTGATGGTAACCAATTTTTTTTTATGAATGTTGTTGGTAAGGAACCAATTATCAATTGTGAGATTTCAACCAATTCCCAACTCTATTCAGCAATATTTCAGCTGTATGGTGTATATAATGTAAATAATGGAGTCTGGACCAAACAATCCAGTGATCAACATCATGAGCATCGACCTACGAAATTAAGATATGATGACATGTGTCAAACAAGTCTGTGAAGCTGACCACCCGATACCGTTAGTTGCCTCTTATGACAAGTATGGGTTACTGAAGATCAATTCTAACCCGGATCTTCACGGGTGGAATTCTACAGATAAACAAATATGGGTTACAGGCAATCAATCCAAAACAGATGCTAACTGATACCATGAGTTGCTAGGGATCTCATCAACCTGGAAGCACACAACAAGTACTGAGGACCTGTGAGAGAGGATATACCCACCATCTTGTAGGGGTAGCCACTAGACAGAGCTATCCTGCCTTGCTCCTTACTAATCTGAAAGGGAAACTTTCAATATCAGTCACGTAACATCAAATGTTTGCAGCTTTATAATGCACTCAGTAATACTCATGGTTTATATTTATCAGCCTGTGAATAGTCAAGTCATGTTATGTGTGAGGGACAATCGATGCCTTCAATGACATAATCAACTTGACTACTCGTTACAGGATACTAAAAAACATGGAACTACCACCAGGTAGCGAGTATAGTTTTACGCTGGTTTTAGCAATATTCCAGCAATATCACGTTGTGGGACACCAGAAATGAGCTTCACACATTGTACCCATGTGGGGAACACCATAACCTCTAGGCTAACCCACCACCCCTGTATGTACTGGTACTTCTGTCATTGATACAGCGTATCACCAATCAAATCAGCATTTATAAACAGATAGTTACACATCCTTTCTCATCTAACTCAAATCTTCATCTTTCAGCATGAACACCTCCTGACTCATGCTCTTTGCTTGTAGAATCCAACAGAGCGGAGGTGGGAATATATAATACTTTGGATTTTAATAATTAGTGATTTGAACTGTGATGATTGTAATAACCCTATGAGAACTTCATAAAGGCATTGAACTGATGAATTCCTGCTGCCAGCTTATCAGCTGCCATATAGAGGTTATTACAATGTACTTATTATGATAAGTATATATAATATTAATACAATGCTTAAGACTAATAGACTTAAGCTTGTTAATATGCTAGTATAAACTCCTTAGAGTTTGTTAGCTAAAAATACTTTAAGATATAAACATAGCACTAAGCTTAAAATATGATTAATTTTAAGCTAATTATATAATAACAAACCTCTTTAGGGTTTGTTAGTTAAAAATATTTATATGATATAGACAGTGCTGAGCTTAAGATATGAATAAGCTTAGCTATATATATAACAGCAAACTTTGTAGAGTTTGTTAGCTGATACATTTTACAATATGAGTATAGTATTGTGCTTAAGATATAATTATCTTAAGCTACATATATAATAGCCAAACTTAGTAGAGTTTGTTAGCTAATATATTTTTACAATATGAGTATAATACTGTGCTTAAGATATAATTAACTTAAGCTACATATATAATAGCCAAACTTAGTATAGTTTGTTAGCTAATATATTTTTACAATATGAGTATAGTACTGTGCTTAAGATATAATTAACTTAAGCTACATATATAATAGCCAAACTTAGTAAAGTTTGTTAGCTAATATATTTTTACAATATGAGTATAGTACTGTGCTTAAGATATAATTAACTTAAGCTACATATATAATAGCCAAACTTAGTAAAGTTTGTTAGCTAATATATTTTTACAATATGAGTATAGTACTGTGCTTAAGATATAATTAACTTAAGCTACATATACAATAGCCAAAAACTCTGTAGAGCTTATTAGCTAATAGATTTATAATGTAACCATAGTACTAAGTTTAAAGATATGATTAGACTTAAGCTAAATGTATATAGCAAAAACTCCTTAGAGTTTATTAACTAATATACTTTTATGTTATAAACATAGTACTGAGCTTAAGATATGATTAAACTTAAGCTATATATATATAATAGTAAAACTCCCAGAGTTTGATAGCTAATACATTTTATTATGTTGATTTAGACCTAGTATTGAGCTTAAGATATGAAGTAAACCTTAAGCTAAATATATAATAGCAAAAACCTTTTAGAGTTTTAATAGCTAATATACTTATATGGTATCAACATAGTATTGAGCTTAAGATATGAAGAAACCTTAAGCTACATATGTATAGCAAAAACTCTGTAGAGTTTGTTAGCTAATACATGATATAATGTAACCATAAAGCTTAAAATATGATGAAAACTTAAGCCCAATATATAATAGCAAAAAACTCTTTTAGAGTTTTGATAGCTAATATACCTATATGCTATAAACATAGTACTGCTTAAGATATGAATAAGCTTAAGTTACATATATAATAATAAAAAACTCCATAGAGTTTGTTAGCTAATACATGTTATAATGTAACCATATTGCTTAAGATATGATGAAACTTAAGCCAAATAGCAAAAGCTCTTTAGAGTTTGTTAGCTAATATAGTTATATGATATAAACATAGTACTGAGCTTAAGATATGAATGAGCTTAAGCTACCTATATAATAGCAAAACTCCGTAGAGTTTGTTAGCTAATGTATTTTACAATATGAGTATAGTACTATGCTTAAAATATACTTGACTTAAGCTCATTATATAATAGCCAAAAAAACTCTGTAGAGTTTGTTAGCTAATGCATTTATCATGTAACCACTGTGATGATAAAAACGAGCTTAAGCAAATTATATATAGCATGAAGCTATTTAGTACTGTTATAAGATAAGTAAAATCTGTAAGATTGACTTATCTTCTCCGAGGAACTGTCAACTGTTGTGCAAGGACCATGGGATCGAATTGGTGGATACCTGAGATGTCCTCGGTGGTGATATCTCTCAGATAATGGTTGGCAACCACCATATCGGATCTACAGTAATAAACCCTCCATTATTTCAAATAACATTTGTGTAGATGAAATTGTAGAAGTTAGGGCTCTAATATCAAGAGTATTAAAGCTCATGGAGGGTCGGATTAGGTCCATCTGTCTTGTATGCACGTAGTATGACAGTTCTGATCAAAACGGAGATATAGTACGTGAGACTACACTCTAAGTAAGTTGATGATAGAGGAAAAAATCTGTTGTATTTTTTCTTCCTGTTTGGTTTGGTGGAGATAAATTTACAGTGCTCTTGCTGGCCAGCGTGATAGCATCATCGTATCATGGAGTCCAAGTATGTCATCCAGGCATGTTCATAAACCTCACTTGTGAGGTGTTGTAGCACTATATTCATATCCCCAAGTTGGTGCGGAAACTTCCGTTTATTCTCCAAACAGAAACTTAGTAGGTTTACTAACCATCTAGTTGTGTTAGTAGCTTGATGATGAAATTCAGGTGTAGTCTGAAACGCTGTGGATTTCGATCCACTTGTATCACGTCGTCTAGGTAAATCGTATGCGATGTCCTTGACGATGTATGTGCACAACCGGAGTTTGTGTCCTCGATGAACTTTATGTAAAATCGCCTGACTGCTGTGCCCTTGTCTAAACTTGACAGGGAGGTCTCTAACCTGAAGAAAGCAGCCTAATCATGAAGGTTCAGGTTAACTGGGCTGTAAGGAGGCTTGCTCGTTCATTGATATAAAGTTGTCACTTGCAACCTATGTCTTGAACTGTGAACTATGCTCGACCTCTGTGTAGGCGTTGTTCATCGGGTCCAATCAGAATAAGGCATTTTGATTCTGTAGAGTACCCAGCGCTGTGATGTCACCGGTGTAGCAGGAAAAGGAACCTTGTATAATATAGTGCCGCCGCTGATATTAGAACAATCATCGGTCTTCATCGTAACTTCCCGAAGTTACCCGAAAGTGACCACGTGTTTCGAGGATTAATGGTAAACGCAGCGAAAGCTTCGCGAAAAATACCTTGCTCTGTAATATTAATGCTGGGTAGGTTATTTTCCTGGCTGTCGTGAAAGTACTTCAGTTTTGAATATAATTCCGACTTCTTTATATATAAAGGTACAATAACTTGTAAGTTGTCAGCTTGTAGACTGTATACATGAATGTATCGTCATAATTGTAGAATTAAAGCTGAATTTGTTGTACATATTTCTTCTCAGAAATGTTGACGACATTATGAGTTATACCGCTGTAACAAGGCTGCTGTTCAATTTCGATATTGAATTGTTCGCAGATATGCGTAATGTTCACGCATGTAGATAATCGTGATCGTCGTCCGGGATTGCATATACTAGCAATTTATACGAATAGTTGATTTCTGTGAAGATCTATGAAACGTCGTTGACAAATTAATACAGCGGCGCTCTGTGTTGTAAATAGCCTGTGCAATTGTCTTGGCGTAGGCTTATAGAGGCGGCATCTGGCATACAGTTGATAGACAACTTATGCGATGTCTTGAACGGACTGAGGAGTAGCTATATATGACGAAAGTGGCTAGTATATGGAGACCTTGGAGGAGACTTCCTCGGTGAACGCCTGAGACTTCACGAAGCTCTCAAGTATCCCTTCTAGATCTACTGGTGAAGTAGACTTGAGTTACTTAGCCTTCGCGACCTTCGCGAAGGTATCGAAGTCAAAGTCCGATTAGAATATATATATATATATATATATATATATATATATATAAGAGCTTTGCTTCGCGAATGGCCTCTGTGTTTAACAGGATGTGGGTCGGTGGTTAAGCTACTCCTCCATGACGCCCCTTGTAGCTGGTGAGGCTCTAGCTCTCTTCGAGGAGGACCTGGGACTTGCTGGTTCTGCATAAGTAGGGCCGAGTGGATCATCTTATCATTTTCAGAAGTCGGATTGTTTAAATCTGGTGATAAGTGTCTCAATGATCGTTCTAGATCTATTTAGGCCAACGAACATACCGTCTCGCCATGGATTCAACTGAACCAATTTACGATTGTAGTTCTTATTGTTGATATCGATGATCAACTTGTAGTTTTCATCGATGTCTTAAGCCTTGAAGAAGGGTCCATGTTGTGCGTGGAAACTTCTAGGCGTGAAAGTTCGCAATTATGGTGTCTGAACTTTTGTGGCTTTATGGGATGCTATGTCTAGATTCTGTGCTACCGCAGCAATCGGTCGATCGGAGGTAGGGTGATAGCATCTCGCGTCGTCTTCCTTCATCAGGTATGTCTGCGTCGTACTGCCACTCTAGGAAGGTGATGTAGACTTGTGTGCAGACTTGTGTGGTAACCTGTGAGGCGATCGATGTGGTGATGTACGAGGAGATCGGAGACTATTGACAGCTTCGAAGCTCTTGAGTAGTCCCTTGACTCTGTTAAATGACGATCTATATTCGGGTGTCCTTCCCGAGTGCCTTCGCGAATGCCTTCGCGAACGCCTTCCACGAACGCTGCCCTGAAGCCTTCAGCGAAGCTTCCTCTGCGCGCCGGTGCTGGGGAACGGCGATTTGAGCTTCGCGAAGGCTTCCGTGAGGTCTGGTGGCTGAGTCTGCATCTAAGGATGAAGCCGAGGAATGTGATGATCTATCCCCGCCGCCGAAGGCCTTCAGTGAGCTGTTCATCTGGGTCCTTCGTCAAGGTGGTCTGCGACTTCCTTCAGCGAAGGCTGCATCGTCTTGGCTGCCACGTTGACTGGAGGTGCCTCTAGAGTGTTGTCTAAGTTGGAGCCTTCGAAGGCTCGTACTCTGGGCTGGCTGCTTCTCCAGTCTGTAGTGACCTCCATCATCACGACCATGATTTGCCGTAGTAGCTCGTCTGGGATGGTCTCGCGACGAAGTAGTCGGTGCCATCTCTGCGCTGTTAGTGGTGGGGCCCTCAGGTAAGTCGTCTGACATCAGTGTAGAGACATCAGGCTGCATGACGATCTCTGCTGATGTCATTGTAGCTGTCACCGGTCGCTACTTGTCTCATACGCCGAGGATGATGATCGGCTGATCATCGTAGAGGCCAAGTTCAGCGGCTGGAACAATCTCGGTTGAGAAAGTCCTAGTAGACTTCGTTGAATTCCCCTCAGAGGTCGACGCTGCCCTGGGGTGCGAAGTCTCATGCGTTGAGTGTTGGTAGCGACGGGACCCTCAGGAAGATCATCGAATGTTGATCTGGCGCTGACATCACTGTTGCCGACATCAGTCATTCTTTGATGTACATCAGGAATGATGATCGGCTGATCATCATACAGGCCCAATCTGCGATGAGAACAATCTCGGGCTGAGAAAGTTCTAGTAGACTTCGTTGAATACCCCTCAGTGCGACGAAGGGATGTCTGGGGAAGCAGGGCGCTTCTTGAGGCGGCGGACTACGCCCCACTCCACCATTCTAGCGGAAACCCAGACGGGGGGGGTCGACCAACAGCAGTAGACTGGCGAGGGTTCAGGTGTATCAGTCATGCTAGACTCTGCATACGTGACTCTATCTGCTGCGCTGCCTCAAACGCAGTAATTATTTATTAAAGGTAGAATTGGATAAATTAGTATCGCGAACTGCAACGTGAATCACATGAAACATGGCGCCAGTACAGCTAGGGCATATTAAATGCGGATCAGCAGCAGAATAAAAACGTAATGTGCAACAGTACAGAATTTTTATCAACGTAATCCACTGCAACAGCACGGGCCCCGCATAAACAGTAGAAACACGACTAAATATCAATATATAATTGTTGAAAGATACTAGCTAAACCTCTATAGATCTCTATCACAGGTAACTAACTAAATATAATCAAAGGATATAGTGTGTCGGGAGACACAGGCGCTCTCACGTCCAGCTCACTGGGCGAAGAAGGAGAGAGTGAGGCACATGGGTAGAGGTGGCGCCCTCGTTCCCGCGCTTGTGGAAGGGAGGTAACTCGTGGTGTACTAATTAGTGATTTTACATTGAAGGGAACTTCAATTAGGGAGATACAAGTGTTCCACTATGTTCGCAAGAGGAAGGAGACAAGCAAAAGAGCATGAGTCAGGATAAGGAAAAATTATAGTACTTGTTGGTCCCTGCCAGACGCCCGGCATTAATGGGTACAACAAGGACTTGTGGAGTCCGTATAATGTGTCTGAGTGGGGTATTCAAGCTTAAGGGGTGGTGGGGTAGCCTAGTGGTTAAAGCGTTCGACCGTCACCCTGAAGACCCGGGTTCGAATCCCAACATGGGTACATTGTGTGAAGCTCATTTCTGGTGTCCCCCGCCGTGATATTGCTGGAATATTGCTAAAAGCGGCATAAAACCAAACTCACTCACTCACTCACTATTCATGCTTAACTGCGGCATGGTATCTCAGTGAGCTAGCACTATAAAACCAGCTTAAGTCTGGGCTAGTACAAGCAGCCACACATACACATACACATACACATGCATGCACATTGTCCCAGGGTCACAGTACTGTATTTTAACATTTTTTGATATGACGTGGCAGGGAATCAAACCTGAGACCTTCCGCTCTCTGGGCGGACACTTTAACCCCTACACCACGGAGGCGGTCCTTGAGAAACAGAAATGAGCTGTACTTGTTCCCTCAAACATTGTGAGGCTTCAACGTTGACTGGCTGTAAGTTCACCTGATATGTATTCTTTAAGAAGTGGGGTATTGTTCAAGAGTGGAAAAGCTGATCTTAATGGGATTGGTTACATGTTCAATACAGAGGCAGAACTCCATACTAACTATTACAGCTTTCTGATGGTCATCGTTGGCCTCTAGGATGATGACATCAACACCACAACTGCGCAGGTGCTTGCCGAGGCCTTGCAGCATGGTGTCCACGACCACCCTCAGCTGGTGGGGGGTGATTGGAGGTCCGGACTGGGCGGGGCCGGACGCTTCTGGCTGACCAAAAACACCCTGGCTCAGTTACAGTTCAAAGATTTCAATTCTTAAATATTTAATCAAAATAATGCTTTTTTATAATTACGAATTTCTCTATCAAATCTACACATTGAGCAGAGTACTATAATCCCTGTTCACAGCTGACCCAGAAGTATAACCTCAACTAACTAGTGCCCCCAAGTATCATAACCCCACTCACTGGTGCCCTCAAAACTATAACCTCAGCCAACCTGCATAGCATTACTCCTGACTAAAAACGAACCTGTCAATTAAGTGATTGATGAACCTGAAAAATCCAGATTAATAATTTGGAACTTTGGAACTTACCAATGCCCCTACAAGATTACCCCCCTGCTTACCAGAGCACACACTTACACCTGAGTAGTATTACCCTCCACTCACCAGTGTCCTCGGTTCAAGGCTCTTCCCCGCAGCTTTGGCCTTCTTTTTGTCTGTTTTTGAAGGCTTCGACCACTTGGCACACACAGGAGGCTCGAGGTTGATCTGCAGCCCCGACTGCTGTGCGTGCGACGTCAGTACCGTGTACACCTCCAGCAGCACGTACGCATCAAGAGCTGGCAACAGATGACAGGACACTGAAGTGGCAGTAGGTTCTGGACAGAAGACTGACAGACTGACAGACTGACTGATTATGGTTTTACGCCGTTTTTAGCAATATTCCAGCAATACCATGGCGGGGGACACCAGAAATGGGCTTCACAAATTGTACCCATGTTGGGAATCAAACCCGGGCCTTCGGCATGACGAGCGAGCGCTTTAACCACTAGGCTACCCCACCGCCCCTAGGACAGAAGACAAATGTCCTAGTCTCATGTGTTAAAAACTTCTGCTGATTAGGTTTGTTTGTTTGTTGTTTAAAGCCTCACTCAGCAATTTTCCAGCTATATGGCGGCATGCTGTAAACAATCAAATCTGGACCACACAATCCAGTGATCAACAGCATGAGCATTGATGCACAGTCGGGATATTATCACGTCAACCAGGTCAGCAAGCCTGACCACACGATCCCGTTAGTTGCCTCTTACGAAAATTACCCTGAAGACCAATTCTAACCCGGATCTTCATGGGTACAGCTGAATAGGAGCTGTCATTTCAACTTAGAGGTTTCAAACAATGATTAATACCTGCAAAGTTTATTCAAAACTGAATATGGCAGTTTTCTCATCTGAGTGAGCTTGAGATTTTAGTTTTACGCCGCTTTTAGCAATATTTAGTCAATATCACTGCAGGGGACACCACCAGAAATGGGCTTCACATATTGTACCTATGTGGGGAATCAAGCCCGGTCCTTCAGCGGGACAAGCAAACGCTTTAACCACTAGGCTACCCCACCACACTTTCTCATTTGAATTAGTCGAAACCATCTTCCCTAGAGAGAATGAAGTGCCTACCTGCATACACCATCTGTGCCTGCCGCAGAGGACGTTTCTCCCAGTCCGACATCTGCTCCACTTTACACAAGGGTTTTCCCAGACACTGTCTGACTAGCTCACTTAAGCCACGCTCTTCCTTCTTGGAGAAAGAATAAGGTTTCACAGAGCCTTCTCCCTTGTCTTGTTGACTACCTGTAGGTCCTCCATCTTCCCCATCAGACATGAACGCAGACTCATCCAAAACAACAGGGCCATCACCAAATATCTGTGAACATTGAGTGTTCCATTAACCTGGGTAATAATGTGGCACTTTGAGCTTTAGCGGGTGGATTTTGGTACATTAAAATAATGACATCATATTGCTATTGCTGTCATCATAACGTGTACAAGAAGTATTTGAAACTGAGAATTCAAATTTGAATTTGATATATTTATTGTATGAATGCCATAGTCTGCAATATTCCAGGAATATCCCTGCAGCCTGAATATACTTCAATACAGGTCAGACTAAAGGAATAAACAAATGGTTATTTTGAGCATTCATCCACATTAAGATGTCTTCATCCATGCCCACCAGACACAACATGAGTGTAAGTTCTGCTAAGATACCAGCAACCTGTACCCCATCACAGATTATCAGGTCAAGGAAGAGGTGAGGTGAAAATTGGGTCTAACGTCGTGCTTGAGAATATTTCGCTCATATGACGACGTGCATGCGTGTGTATGTGTATGTGCGGCTGCTTGTACTAGCCCAGACTTAAGCTGATTTTATAGTGCTAACCCACTGAGATACCATGCCGCAGTGAAGCATGAATACCCAACTCAGACACATTATACTGACTCCAAGCCGACCAGTCCTTGTTGTACCCATTAATGCCGAGCGCCAGGCAGGGACCAACAAGTACTATATTTTAACGTGTTTTGGTACACCACGAGGCGGTCATCAAGGAAGAGAGTTTTATGGATGTCAATTTGATTTTTTGGGAGACCACAATGTTACAAAAGTAATCCGACAACAAAGGTGGAGACTTGCGATACCAGCACCCTGTACCCTATCACAGTCTATGTGGTTGAGATTCCAGAACCAACTCCTCGCCATAAGCAATATGTGCCAACTACAGTTTATGAGGTTAGTAAAAGTCACTATTTCACACCACACTTTTCTAAACAACCATAATGCACTCTCTCAATAATAATAACTATCAGCCCTCAGGGAGGCTACCATATAATTTATTCCACAAAAAATTATGTATTTAGATTACAACAATATATTAAAAAGTTCCAATGAATTAATGCAACATTGCATTGCATTGAATCGACTCTCGCGCCCTTAACCGCCGAACTTTATTTCAAGCGAGTTATGTCCCTTGAGCTCTCTTTACAAAAATCCTACGCACAACTTGTGATTGAAACCAGTTCAGCAAACACCGACAACACAGCATGCGACAGTATTCGATGTATGGAGCAATTGTTTACATTCCATATACGGTAAGTGTTCCCTGTTTGGAAGTCCTTCGCTATGAAGTTTCAATTATCGATTTCAGGCAAGTCGTAAGGGATAATAAGACTTGTATTGCATCAATAGGAAGCTAAAGTGAGTTCATATGCCCCAATATGTATAATATGGGACAAAATATTGTAAAACATGTGTGACATTATGCCTTTAAGATAACTGTACCCCACAACATCCCTTGAGGTGTATGACCTACCTGCTTGCTGAGGTCCTCCACATTGACGACCCTCTTCATCCTCATCAGGGGATCCTTCATGCTGGGGAATGTCTTGGTGAACATGGATAGGTCAGTCTCCAGGCCGTAACCTGCCACAAAAATAGGTTTGTTTGCACTTGGCTGCACTTATGTGGCACTAAAGATTGTCGTAAAAGTATGTTGAATGCTGTCAGACGATTTGAAGTGCCAGTAAAATGTTGAGTGCTGTATTGAAGTGATTGAAGTAGTAAAATGTTGAGTGCTGTATGTGGCAGCAGATGATTGAAGTGTCAGTAAAATGTTGAGTGCTGTATGTGGCAGCAGATGATTGAAGTGCCAGTCAGTGCTAAAATGATTGAAGTGCCAGTAAAATGTTGAATGCTGTATGTGGCAGCAGATGATTGAAGTGCCAGTAAAATGTTGAGTGCTGAAAGTGTGGCAGCAGATGATTGAAGTGCCAGTAAAATGTTGTGCTGTATGTGGCAGCAGACGATTGAAGTGCCAGTAAAATGTTGAGTGCTGTCATGACGCAGCAGATGATTGAAGTGCCAGTAAAATGTTGAGTGCTGTATGTGGCAGCAGAGATTGAAGTGCCAGTAAAATGTTGATTGAAGTGCCAGAAGAAAGTGCCAGTAAAAATTGTGCTGTGAGCAGCAGATGATTGAAGTGTCAGTAAAATGTTGAGTGCTGTATGTGGCAGCAGATGATTGAAGTGTCAGACGCAGCAGATGATTGAAGTGCCAGTAAAATGTTGTGCAGTGGCAGCAGATGATTGAAGTGTCAGTGTTGAGTGCTGTATGTTGCCTTACAAACCACCAGTACTACCACTATTATGCAGCTCTATGTACACAGCATCACAACCTGAGACTTACCCAGCTTCACTGTGTCTTCATTACAGAAAACTCTCCTTGTGAAGTCTGCCCAGTCCTGGTCTGTTAGTGTTGACCTGAGCGTAGTGCAGTCGATCAGATACACATGGTCCGTCACAGCAAACTGCATCAGGGCCACTCTGTGACATACAATCAGAATGGCTGCCTACATTGTTTACTTGCACTACGTATGATCCACACATAATTACAGCTACAGATGCTAACACCAAATTAAGACAAAATAATGAACATGTGGAAACTCAGAAAGAAAACTGCAATCACTATTATGTCAAAACTTGGGGTTTGACATCCATCTGTACAGTGCCAACAATTGTGGGCTATTTTTGTGTGAGCGTTTATGTAAGCATGTGAGTGAGTGAGTGAGTGAGTGAGTGAGTGAGTGGGGCGGGCAGGCAGGCAGAGGCTGGCAAGGGGGGGAGGTGGGTGGAGGGAGATAGGGAGACAGACTCCGCTTTCACAGATATTCCGGCAATATCAATGTCTTGAGAAAGTTAAGAATCAAATCTATCTGCAATTGAGGTACACACTTTCGATCAAGAGGCTATCCCACCAACCTTCATGTGTAAAGTTGAAACATGTAAACTAATAAAGTCATCATAACAGATTCAGGTTGTCATGACAACACCCTGGCGTTCCATGACAAACTCACCTCTGAGGCTGTGCTGCAAATGCGGGTCTCCACTCCGAGTCGATGCCAATCACTGTTCCAGGCTGGAAAAACATCAGATCAACACACGTTATGAAATAACGACGACAGTATCATTGGTATTATCATAACTAATCATTAAGTCTGAGGAAATGATAAGACAGCTCTGAATCCCATACCAGACACATGGCCAGTCTGTACAGACGTATATCACTGTTGAAAGAGTGAGCGAGTTGGTTTTATGCCGCTTTTAGCAATATTCCAGCAATATCACAGCGGGGGACACCAGAAATGGGCTTGACACATTGCACCCATCACTGTTGAAAGAAAATATAATCATCATGAATAAGGGAACATGTGAAAATACAAGTGTTCCTATATTCTTTTCCAGGTTTCTTCATAAGGAATGCATTTGCACTGTGGGTGAAATTCTGGAAATAAATAAAGGAACACATGTACTTTCAAGTGTTCCCTTATTCGTTTCTTGGAGTATAAAATGTTTCTCAAAATTTGCACATTTCTCACCATGAATACCAACAAACCACACAACTCTGACAGAACTTGATAGCAACACATCAATAGTCAAGGAGGGATAACACGCTTCATATGAAGTGGGTAATTAGAAATTTTGGTATTGGTTAAAACACGACAGCTCACAGGATTTAATCATGCTGCTGCATTAGGAACAGTTCCTTCTTTTTCCACCAAAAAAAATTAATTTTTATATGTTGTCAGAACACATTTATAAAATAATGTCGCTTTGGACACACCTTTTGATTTGTCATCAGCAGGAATCAAGTAGTTTTGGTGGACACACAAGTCCATTGTTTCAACTCACAATGACAAATGTGTTAAGCATATAATTAGGATGGAGGTGTTGATCTTATGGCCCAAAGAGCTCCACATAATTTTTCAAGCAGTTGGGTATTTACTCCTAGGTCTGTTTATGTAGGAGAAAATTGCATTTTTTGAGGAGTAACTAGCAATTTGTGTACTCCCACTAGTTTACAGAATTGAGTACTTTTACACAGAGTTTCTTATCCTTATTGGGTAATTAACACTTCTAAATATATAAATATACTACCCTTTAAATGTTTAGACTCACTTAATCACTCACTATATTTTATGTGTATATATGTGGTTACATCAGAGATGAATGTCTCCCCTAACTTGGGAGAACCAACAGCAAACCTTATGCGGATGAATTGCACAAGGATCATGCATCAACTTGCTGAAAAGCATGTGCAAATATCATTCATTCTTAACAAAACGTCACAGCAAAACGCAGCAGTTTATGCTGCGTTTTTCTGTAAAGTTTTGTTAAGAATTCACAAATTTTCACTGAGTTTCATCATTTATTGAACTCAGGACAATAATTTTTTCAACATTACGGAATGTGTTTTACAATACATCAGTTCATGTGTAAACAGTATCCTTAAACTGTATAGAATATTTTGCAAAATCTAGTTTAGAATCGTTGACTAAAGTAAGTGGCTACATCTACACCAGTGAGTCTAAACTTTTGATGGGAAGTATATAAATGCTTCTCAATAGACCTAAGTCTCATGTACAACTCGTTGTTTATTTCTTGTAAGACTAGCCACAGGAACTTTCTTTGCCAATCAACCAAAGTTCGTTTTGAGACATGATCACCGGTGTGCCGTTTTCTCTTCGTTACATTCACAGTGTCAGTTAGGTTAGCTAAAATGTCTGCACATAACCATTGAGCTACATCACACCTATCCGTAATGTCACTGATTATGTCTTGAGCATAACCATTTGCCTCACTATGTTTACTTGCCTTGAAGTAGTCTAAAAAATTTTTTTTTTGATGAGGCTGACTCACGCACGTTTTCCTGCCTCGCGCAGCCATTTCTAAACACTCGAACATGGAAGTCACTGTGACAACTACAGTAAAGTCCGGACAGTGGCTATGGCTAAAATAGTATATCTATATATAGGCATCGTTTAACATTTGCTAATGCTGTTGTAGAGTTTGGGAGCCACAACGAATTTATCATACGCAAGCCAGTTTAGTTAACTGAGTAAAAGTACGCGAAGTATTAAGACCTATTGGGATTTAAGTGAGTCTTATGCGTTTTTTGTACTCCCAGATTTGTAATTAATTGAGTAAATGTGATTTCTATAGCGTAAAATATGCAAATACGGGCATTATCTGGAGCTCTGTATGGCATAGAGCCATTTAGCCAGATCCTGTCAACCAGGAAGGACGGACAGACAGACTACGAAAGAGAGACTGAGACATACAGAACACAAACAAAGCCTCACCACACAAAGTCTGGCCACACACACGCTGAGCTTGTCACGAGTGTCAACCAGCGTGATCTGTTCCAGTGGAACGCTCAGGGAATGATAGTACTTCTGCAGATCCTGCTCCGTGTAGCAGTCGTCATCCCAGTTCTCTCCCCCTGTGTCATCCCACCCTCCGGTAGCACCATCTCCAGCCTGCTCACTGTAACCATAGCAAAAAGGGCATCGCTGAGCCAGGCAAATATCCTGTGGATGTTGAGTGAGTGAGTGAGTAAGTGAGTTTAATTTAAGCAATATTCCAGCAATATCACAGTGAGGGACACCAGAAATGGGCTTCACACATTGTACCCATGTGGGGAATCAAACCCGGGTCTATACCCCACTGCCCCCTGTGGATGTTGAACTAATACTTGTGACATTCTTGTAGGTGCATGGAGTCAGCATTTCTCTTAACACTGTACAACAAAACAGGACATTGAAATGGAGAGCATTGTGATTTATGATAAAACAGTCAGACGCCTAGGCGAGTCAGCTGAACTTGGAGAGATCTTGAATGGTTGGTTGGTTGCTTAAAGCCGCACTCAGCAATATTCCAGCTATATGGCGGCAGTCTGTAAATAATCGAGCCTGGACCAGACAATCCAGTGATCAACAGCATGAGCATCAATCTACGCAATTGGGAGACTTGTGTCAACCAAATCAGCAAACCTGCCACCCGATCCTGTTAGTCGCCTCTTAAAACAAGCTTGAGTTACTGAAGACCAATTCTAATCTGGATCTTCACGGGTCTCTTGGATGGTAGAGATGAGTACTGGCCTGACTTTCATATTGCAACTTATTGCAGTAATGATGAGTGAGTAATGATCCATGTATTGCGATATGTACCACAAAACATTTCCATCATTATTTCATCTAAAATTTGTGACAAACTTGAAACAACAGACCAATACATCAGACTTTCCTCCACATTTTTGACAGTTTCTACATACCTGGCCATCCTCTCCTTGGCTTCTCGAACAGGGCGGGGCAGTTTATCATCACCAAGGTGATATATCATGGCCCACTTGGCAGCCTCTTGGAGATCATTGTAACACATGAGCTGTTCCACCAGCTGTTCCTTCAAGAAGTCATTCTCCCCCACTGCATTCTACAACAAGAGTGAATGAGTCCAGTCAGTCAGTGAGAGAGTCCAGTCAGTCAGTGAGAGAGTCCAGTCAGTCACAGAGAGTCCAGTCAGTCAGTGAGAGACAGTCCAGTCAGTCACAGAGAGAGTCCAGTCAGTCAGTGAGAGAGTCCAGTCAGTCAGAGAGTCCAGTCAGTCAGTCCAGTCAGTCAGTCAGTGAGAGAGTCCAGTCAGTCAGAGAGAGAGAGTCAGTGAGAGAGTCCAGTCAGTCAGTCCAGTCAGTCAGTGAGAGAGTCCAGTCAGTCAGTGAGAGAGTCCAGTCAGTCAGAGAGTCCAGTCAGTCAGTGAGAGAGTCCAGTCAGTCAGAGAGAGTCCAGTCAGTCAGTGAGAGAGTCCAGTCCAGTCAGTCAGTGAGAGAGTCCAGTCAGTCAGTGAGAGAGTCCAGTCCAGTCAGTGAGAGAGTCCAGTCAGTCAGTGAGAGAGTCCAGTCAGTCAGTGAGAGAGTCCAGTCAGTCAGTGAGAGAGTCCAGTCAGTCAGTCCAGTCAAGCAGAGAGAGTCCAGTCAGTGAGAGAGTCAGTCACAGAGAGAGTCCAGTCAGTCAGTGAGAGAGTCCAGTCAGTCAGTGAGAGAGTCCAGTCAGTCAGTGAGAGAGTCCAGTCAGTCAGTGAGAGAGTCCAGTCAGTCAGTGAGAGTCCAGTCAGTCAGTCAGTCAGTGAGACAGTCCAGTCAGTCAGTGAGAGAGTCCAGTCAGTCAGTGAGAGAGTCCAGTCAGTCAGTGAGACAGTCCAGTCATTGTTATTTCTGCAAGTCGATTGAAACACGATTTTGACTCTCAACTAAACGATCTTGACACAAATGGCTGACGATATATCCGCACAAAACTGGGGTGTGGTCGAAGCAAGCCCTCTGGTTGGTCAACGCTGCTAAATCTGCACATTATTTATAAATTCTCTGGATTTTTTACTTTCAACGACTGCTTGACTTGGCAGAAATGTAAGATTTTTTTTCCAGCAATGGCTTCTCAAAAGAAAGCATCATTTGTAAATGTCTCCTTAACAAACATCAACCAACCAGAGGGCTTGCTTCGACCACACCCCCGTTTTGTGCGGATATATCGTCAGCCATTTGTGTCAAGATCGTTTAGTTGAGAGTCAAAATCGGGTTTTAATCAACTTGCAGAAATAACAATAAAGAATTGGTAGGTGTCATGAGTGGTGCTCGATAGGCCAATCATCCATGATTATGTTTACATTAAGTTTTAATCGATGGTAGCGTAGCGATCGGCAAAGCAGGCGGGTGGGGTACACCGAAGTGTCCAGCCTTGTCATAATGTATTGTATGTGAAGCATTTCGAGTCGGGGGTCATCTCAAATTTGTGTATATATTCTGTAAAATCTTTAATCCTTGCAAAGACACGAGGGCTTGTGTGTGGTAGTGGAAACAATACTATCTTTGCCTTGTTCTATTGTTACATGATTTCAAACACTGAAAAACATTTCAGACTCTTTTGCTGTCTGTGACTGATACAGTGTGTGTCTGTGACTGATAAAGTGTGTGCTGTTTGGTGCCTGGTTTGGGTTTCTCCCACCCCAAGGATTCAAAATGAGGCATATTTAGGATGTGAACCAACAGTTGCAGCGCACTTTACACACTAACACATGCGGCAGACAGACAGGAACTACCCACCTTCACCATTTCATCCCAGCTGCCAGATCCAAACGTTTTCTGTAACAGAAATAAAGTCATATATATCTAATATTTATGTTGTGGTTTGTTTTTTTTACTCCACCCTCAGCAACATTCAGCTGTATGGCAGTGGTCCATAAATAATCGAGTCTGGACCAAACAATCCAGTGATAAACAACATGAACTCTTTGTATCACTTGCTTATTGCAATAAAGAAGGTGACTATCCACAGAACTCGGTTTTCCTTCAACATGAGCATTGAACATCAAGAATTTTCTGGATTTCCTCTTCTTTTCATTCTAAATAATATATAATAAAACGAAGATGAAATCCACAAAATCCTTTATGTTCATTAAATAGCATCTTCTAAAATGCCAATCAAGCATCTAACATGACCACTGATCAATATTGGGCTACGATGACGTGTGTCAACCGTGTCAGCAAGCCTGACCACCTGATCCTCTTACGACCATGCGTTGCTGAAGATCAATTCTAATCCGGATCTTCACGGGTTTATATCTAGGAACTACAGAGTGTCAGCCAAAAGACACCAAATAGGCACCAAATATTCTGGAATTGAAATAAATGGTATCCTGCTAGCCCATGGCTATTAAGCATGATTAATCATGAGTTGCTCAGCAAATATTCCGGATGTGTGATGGTGGTATGTAAATAATTGAGCCCATACAATGCAGTGATTAAATGCTTCACAAAGTCACCAAGTCTATTTGGTCACCTCTTACGACAAACACCCGTGAAGATCTGGGTGAGAATTGATCTTCAGCAACCCATGCTTGTCGTAAGAGGTGACTAACAGAATCGGGTGGTCAGGCTCGCGGACTTGGTTGACACGTCACTGTATCCCAATTGCGTAGATCGATGCTCATGCTGTTGATCACTGGATTGTCTGGTCCAGACTCGATTATTTACAGACCGCTGCCATATAGCTGGAATATTGCTGTGTGCAGTGTAAAACTAAACTCACTTAGACAAACTTAAGTTACTGATAGCATTCAAAACTGGAATCTACAAAGTGTTTCCATTGCTATAAGCAAGTTTCTAGTATTTGATCATGTGGTTTGTTCGTTGTTTAACGCCACTCTCAGAAATATTCCAGTAAATAATCCGTAAATAATCAAGCTTGACCACCCAATACAATTAGTCACCTCTTAGGACAAGTATGGGTTGCTGAATGCCAATTCTAATCTGGATCTTCATTGACATTGACGTCATTGACAATGTGGTAACATACAGGGGTTCAAAATTTGTTTAAAAAGCCACTTACCACAGGGCAAGTGACTTTAAGAAAGTAACTTGTCCTGACTAATTTTCCACTTGCCCTGATTTTATGAAATAATCATGATGATGTAATTATGAAAGAATAAATCAACATGGTATTTGATGTTAATGTTTACTGGACTATTTATTGAAAAGTGATAAAAAGCAAAGAAAGATAACTCTACTTTATTATCATTGCGAAATTTAATAGCTACATTTTGATATGAAATTAAATCCTAGTCTATTTGCAGTTTAAAACCATAAGTGGAAATTATCTAGTAGCCCACGGACAAGTAAGATACCATTATTTGATTGCCCGAAATGAAAACTGACTTGTCCCGGGTGTCGGGCGGTGGGATTTTTGAACCCCTGACATAAAACACAAAAAGATAGTAATCATAAACAATTAGATACTCAAAACAGCAAACCACTATTCATTGTACAAGCATTTATTTGATGACTACAACAATTCTTCAGCACCTCACCTCTATGTATCTCTTGTACATCAGGTACTTCAGCGCTCCAACACCTCGGGCATTGGAGATGTTCGGACAGTGCTCTAAAATGAAAAGTACAAGATTATTAAAGAAGGTGTCTGACACTATAGTGAAAGTGAAAACACAGATGTAGCTCTGACAAGCCGAGTATCATAATCAGCGCAAATCTGTGTCAAACCCACATTTACCGGATCATGTTACACAACTAAGGGCTGTAACTCAGCACAGCAAACTGCAAATGTGAGTGCCTTTTCTTATGCCACTTTTAGCAATATTCCAGCAATATCACTACAGGGGACACCAGAAATGGGTTTCACTTTGAACCTATGTGGGGAATCAAACCCAGGCCTTCGGTGTGATGAATGAAGAAAACTGCATATGTAGTATTATGTACCTTGAGGGATCTGGTAGAGTTTCATCAGCCTCACTGCCAGCTTGCTCAGCGTCTTTTTCTGGATCTTGTCTCTCTTCACATTCTGCACCCCCGAGGACCTGAAACAGTCATACAGTCCAACCAGGTATTTTCATCAATATTCACTCCAGTAAACTAGAGTTAATGTGTGAAGTGTGTCAAAAACACAGGGACAAGTTGAAAAGGATGCACTGGATGAATACGCAGTGTTGCTATACTGTTGATTTTATAAATTTTAATACATATCTGTATGCAAGCAACTAAAAATTAATTGGAGAACTGGTTTATTGTCAAGGGGTAAATGCAGTGATGTCAGCTGTAAATAATCGAGTCTGGGCTGGACAATAAAGTGATCAACTGCATGAGCATTGATCTACACAACCAGGATACAATGACGTGTCAACCAAGTCAGCAAGCCTGACCACCCGATGCCCTAGTCGCCTCTTACGACAAGCATGGTTACTGAAGACCAATTCTAACCCGAATCTTCTTAACATGGGGAACACTTGGACATTATTGTATCATCTCCATGTTGATGTCACATAAAGTATTTGAAGAGCATTTAGAAGTGATACACATTAAGGGGGAAATGTATGGATGTCAACTTCTGTAACATTTTTATCTGGAGGTGTTATTCCAAAGAGTCTCGAGTTGACTGATAGCTCTACCAGGCAGGTGAATCAGTGTGACCTACTCGATGATCCTGTTGATGTCTGTCTCCCGGTCACACAAGTGGTCAAGCAGCTGCACCACGGCCTTCTGTTGCTCGGGGTTACCGATCACGTACGATTCCAGCAGGTTCACCTTGTCTTGGAGCAGCAGCGGGAGTATAATCTGGAACCAGAGAGACACGGTGATGGAGTGAATGAGTGAGCGAGTGAGTTTAGTTTTACGCCTCTTTTAGCAATATTCCAGCAATATCAAGGTCGGGGGACACCAGAAAATGGGCTTCCGGTGATGGAGTGACTTCGAACAGATATAGCGGCGCACGCGCACGCACGCACGCACACACGCACACACACACACACACACACACACACACACTTGTATAGCGCCAATATCCGGGTCATTTTCAAAATTGGTAGGATTTTCAATTCTTTATTACAATAAAATCAAACTCATAAAAATTGATTTAGGTTTTATTCAAATGAAATCTCAAATACTTAATTATTCAATAATACAAACATGCAGGCTCAAATTTACTAATTGGCCTTTTAATTGATACATAAGTAATTAATAGGGTGAGGGAAAGTCCTGACCGTTACCACTTCTTAATCAGAATAAGGATTTTAAAATATAATTCATAAAAATCTTTTAAAGATGGCATACACAGCTTTTACACCGACTTAATCAAACTTGAAGGTAAAAACTATTATCATTATTTTTTGAAAGTGTTATTTTGTATCTTTCATTTATCATTATTATGCATATAGCTTTCATGAGGTAATATCATCTAAAATTCACATCAGCTACTAAGCCCAGGACATCTTTTGATGACACCAGCATAAAGAGGAGTGTTTCATGTATTATCATGAATTAATTAAAGCAGTCAATTAACACCAGTAGCAGGTTAGGACAATAGTGGTAATGGTTTGGACAGGAATGGTAGCTTGGGCTGGACATAAACCTTAAACAATTTAATTGAACATAGAAACAGGTAACATGAAAGGAAAAAAAATTATATTATTTACTTCAACTGCTACCCCTATTTTTGGACCGACAGTGAAATGTGTATTAGAAATTTTAACTTGTAACAAATGTGACATGTTTTCTTCCATGCTGTGGTAGCGGTTTGGACATTTGTTATATCAATATGAAACTTGTGAATGAATTTAGGCTTTTGATAAAAACAAAGCGGTAGCTTCTAAAGAACAGAAAAACACACCTGTCTAGGTTGAAAATCACTTATAATCGAGAAAGAAGAGTGCAATTGGGGAGCGAAAATTGAATGAATAGTAGCGGTTTGTGACATTATTGAGTAGCGGGTCAGGACATCAGTGTAACAATCAAATGTTATCCTCTAAAAGTTGCAAAAGATTAAATTCTGAAGGTACTGCAACAACTATGATACTATGCGCATGGTCATGCTACACAGGCCACTGCATGAATGTCATTTTGCTGTTGATATTATGGTGCAATATTAGTCTCCACGAAATATACTTCTTTCATTCACTTTCGGATACCTTTACTTTTGTTAATGTCGTGAGATGGTAACACATATTTATCAAATACAAAGGTTTGGCCAACATATTAGCACCTAGCAAATATTCAAAGTAAATGGTAGCCTTACATATCTCACAGTTAAAGTTAAAACAGTTTACACCCAAAAATCTTTAAAGGTTGGAATACTGTTACCATAGATGTCTAACCGTTACCTTTTAATTTATAAAGACTATAGATCTTATAGAAACTAGAAACTTAACCTGATAAATTCGTTTTGGTTTTATTATTTAAAAGCAGATAGATAAGTAAATAAAAAAAATATTATCACACCATGGAACATATTCTTTAAAATTGAAATTTATTAAAGATATGTCCAGACCCGTTACTATTATTTGTCCAAACCGTTACCAGAGACTGTTTTTTTATGATACTACATCAAAACTCCTTTGAACAGTAAAATTCCATGCTTAAACTTATCTTAACCCTTAAAGTAATTATAAATTTGTTAAATTTCAAATAGTAATGAACAACTTTTTGAAATACAAATCATTTTGTCCAGACCGTTACAAGGACTGTCCAAACCTTTACTTTGCAGTATGGTAACGGTTTGGACAGTAACGGTCAAGACAATTTGTAAGTAAATCTAAAATAAAAAAATGAATGATCCCTAAAAGATTTCAAAGGACATGCCTTCCACCTCTTCCATTTCTGGGCAGCATATCCATTGAAATGTAAAAAAACAAAGAGATATATTTGACACAAAATACATTGGTAACGGTCTGGACAATTAAGGTTGACACATAACATTTATACTTATTTGATGGTGTCAATTTTCTGCAAAATGTGTTGAATTTCATTATTTCATTTGCTGTCACATGCACAGGGGCTAGCTCAAGCACACACAGGAAGTAGTATTACAAACCAGCTCCAGGGGGAAGTTATTGCAGGAATTTCATACACTGGTAACGGTCATGACACAAAATGACAGGACAAGCATGTTACAATTTGTAGAAAAAAACTTTTTAAGTTAAAAAAAAAATTAAATGCAGTTTGGGTATGCCTGTTCAATTGTAACCGGCATAATATGAATTAGTTTGGTTATTTGCATTTATATTTACATTATTTGTGAACATTGATATTAGGACCGTCACCTCCGGACGGAGCAAATCTGCCAATTATGACCCTAAAATGTGGCTAAATATACATTTCAAAATGACAAGACTAATGATATACCACATTTACTGATTAGTAAACTTCTAAATATGTTTTCTAGCACAAAAAAATCCTTTTAAGTTAACAGATTTTTTTTTTATTTGGAACGGACAGAAAATCCTACCAATTTTGAAAATGACCCATCCGTAATCCGCTCTGGCTCTAAGATGGTCTAGATATCACATAGAGTTCAAATGCTTCAGCAAAGAGACACGTCTTCAGATTTGATCTAAAAACAGCTAACTCTGGTTGTGTTCTGAGGTGAGATGGAAGATTGTTCCAGAGATGAGGGCCAGTCGTCTCGAGTGACCTGTCACCATATGTTTTTGTCCTAGTCACAGGAATTGTCAAAAGACACTGGTCATTTGATCGGAGGGAACGTACAGGAGTATAACGGTGGAACAGAGCACAGAGGTACTGAGGTGCTAGACCATGTAAACTTTTGAAAACAAGGAGTAGAGTTTTATATTTTATCGCGGTAGTGGACGGAAGCCAATGAAGTGAGTGAAGAACGGGAGTAATGTGGTCTGATTTCTTTGACAGAGACCACTGGCTGCAGTATTCTGCACCTTCTGAAGCTTGTGTATAAGATAATTTGGGAGGCCCACAAGAAGCGCATTACAGTAGTCAAGACGAGATGTTACATATGCCTGAATAAGAGATGCTGTAGTCTTGACGTCCAGGTATCGTCGAATCATGCCGATGTTTGTAATGTGGTGGTGTAGCCCTTCTACAGATGTTATTGATGTGTGGCTCCATGGACAGTGAAGAATCAAAAATAACTCCCAAGTTTCGCACCTCATGGTTTGGCTGAATCTCACACTGACCGATGCTGAATTTAGGAAGAGAGATACTGGGTTGGAGACGCTTAGGGTGGAAAACTATGAGTTCAGTTTTATCATCATTCAGTTTGAGGTAGTGTGACGACATCCAGATTTTGATGCAGCTGACACACTCTTCAATGGAGAGAAATGAAGACACAGCTGATGAGGAAAGTAAGGGTTTGAATGATATGTAAATTTGAGTGTCGTCAGCATATAAATGCAGTCCAAGGTTGAAGCTCGAAAAGACGATATTGGGAGAAAGTGAGTGAGTGAACTTGGTTTTATTGTCTTGCAAACAAGAATCTTAGATACCTCCCTTTCCTAGTGAAACCATTCCATTAAACAAGGTCTTATAAGTCAACCAGAAGACAAAAATGTTTATTAAACCACAGATAAAATGTATTTGTACCTAATATACCTAATAATGCCCAAAATTGTTAGCCCTAAAGCTTGTAATCACACCCCACCCTTTTGAAGATTGAACCATGCAGCATGACAACATGAAAACCTTTGATTGATATCGTGAATCAACAATCTACACCGTCAAGGTACAATGACATCCAATCCCCCAAAACATTTAGGCTGGTCACCCAGTCCATCCCTTAAGTCAATAACCCCACAGGCTGCTTGGGGCCTATTTGAACCAAAACCTACAGTGGGTTAGTTGTGAATGAGCGAGTATGGTCTTACACCGCTTTTAGCAATATTCCAGTATCATGGCAGGGTCACCGAAATTTTTCTTGACACACTGTACCCAAGTGGGGAATCGAACCCAGGTCTTAATGCAATGAGCAGACAATTTAACCACTAGGCTCCCACACAGTCCGACCCGATTTCTCGAAACAAACTTTAGTCTTAGTTTCAACTTAAGTTAGAGTTTTTACTCAAATTTGAGAAAATGCATTTCCCAGAATGAACTAAAATCAATATTAAACTCAAACATAGTAGACGATTTGAGTTTGGTGGATAGATTACTTAAGTTGTTTGGGCATTTTTATTTAAAAAATGCAATTGAGTTAAAAAGTCAGCTGTTTCAAATTGTCCAACTCAGTTTGAAATTTGAGTAAAAATTTAACTTGTTTCGTGAAATCGGGGCCAGGTTGTGATTAATAAATGTGAACGATCAAATATAATAATGAGAAGGATGTAAAATAGCGTGTTTACCTCTTCCATGGAGAAGTGTCCCTGTAATCCAAGCTTCCCAGCACAATGACAGGCCTTCAAATAAACCACAAGAAGTTGAGATGAAATAATGACTACAAAAGTATACTTGAACATTGCTATCAATCTTGCCATTATTAACATGCATGCTCCATGGACTTTCTTTTGTAAAATTCCTATTTTCTTAAATTCTGCATGTTAACATGGTATTAAATTAAATAATATGAAACAAAGTCACTTTGTTATTCTTTTTTCATTAAACATTGTTCAGTCAGAAGAATACGAACAAAGATGAAATTGGACTTACCTCTTTGTGCTTTCCTTTCTCCAAGAATTTTTTTATTTCAGGAAGAAAATAGTCATTACCTAAATGTCTGAGCTTAAATGCTTTCACTGCCATATCAAACAATGTCATGTGACGTTCGGTGGCCATGTGAAAGGCATGAAATCGGATGTCCTGTGACAACAGATCGTCCATTTTCTTCTTTGTATGTCGTGTCCATCGCTCAAACTCTTTCATGATATAGAACGAGAGTGTAGTAGTTTTACCCGTGTAGAAGTCTCGACATCGCTCTATCATATGTATACACGCTGAGTAGGGATTGGAAGCAGCCATAAAATGCTGAGTGAGCAGTTCTGACACCTGAGCATTAACGGCTGCCCTATTTGCATTGGCTTCGTCAAACCATTTGACTTCAATTTGGTCAAGCCATTCTTTCATTTCATTTGTCGATGTCTGAGCTGGTTGTTTCATAGCGTTCAGCAGCCACATGGAAGAGATTGGGTTCGCTTTGCGAATTTCTGTAAAATTTGTTGGAGCTTCTGCCATTTTGGTATATTGTGTGGTCTGTATTAATTCTGATGACTTGTAGCAAGACTGGGTGGGTCTCTTGTTTTCTGTTCTTGCAACACAGACAGACTTATCTGAAATGAGAACAGGTTAAACATCAGTTCCCATGAACACAGGTGATTGAATGTTGTTTTGCAGGGGTGCCAGTCAAATCGCCCCAGCTACAAAACGCCCCAGCCAATTTGGTCAAAATGCCCCAGATTTTTGGTCAAATCGCCCCAGGTTTGGTCAAATTGCCCCAGGGGGGTAGTCAAAATGCCCTAGGGTATTTAAAATGATTAAATATATGCCATAAATGCATAGTTTTTGTCAACTTCCATATTATATACTTCGTATAATATTATATAGTAATGTTTCTGATAGATTTTCTATTAGTATAAACTGATAAGAGCAAAAGTAATATTCATGTATAAACAACACTATAATACCAATTATTTGCATGTTATTAATGCTTTTGTAAAGAATTACAAGAATAAAATGAAATGTTTGTATAAAATGTTTGGCCATAAATGCCATAAATGCAGCAAGTTTTATGTCTTATCAAGCAAGTATGGTATAATACTTATCAAAACAATCTAGAGATTTTGTTATTATAATTAATCTTGTCAAAACAATCTAAAAAGGTGAGGACTGAGTTTAATGCATAGATTTTCTCAACAAGAAATGGTATAATGCTTATCAAAACAATCTAAAACCAATAGGCTACCCCAACCGCCCGTGTGGATAAAAACAGGCTATTAAAACATGTTCACTAATTGACATTCAATGCTGTGTTTAGTTAAAAGAAATGTTGAGGCTCGAATGTATGAACATTTCAGGCTATAAAAACATATTCACTAATTGACCATCACCTATCGAGATTCAAAAATGTAATTTTGAACGATTCTAATATCTAGTCATTTTGACTTAAATTTCGGTAGCAGATTTTGTCTAATTATACATTGTCGTCTCCAGCTTGAATGTAGTGACCTTAATGCGCACAAGTATGAAAGATTTATATCTCCGACATCATCTTGCTCTTGTGGCCATAACTATGAAGACTCTGCTCACTAGTTCTTTTTTCATGTACTCTTTACAACGATATCACGCCAAATTATGTATTTTTATACTAAAGGATTTGACCTAAAATCAATTTTGTTTGGAAACCAACGCTGCTCCTCAATAGTAAACAAAGAACTTTTAATTTCAGTGCACTCTTTTATAAATTTAACAGGCAGATTTGATCCAAAGTATTTTGTTTATATGACATATACCTTTTGACAATGATAGGCGTTATTTCTCGTTTTTGCAACATTTATATATCATTCACATTGTACATTCATCATGACGAGTTTATTCTTCCTTCCATTGTATCCCAGAGCGGTATTCATATAAGCTTATGCTTGTTTACCAATCCGGTTCCTTTCTTTGGAAATAAATATGTTTAAATAATAAATATTATACCATAATTGTTATGATTACATAATGCCATTTATTGACCAAAAACTATTTACAGCCAATAAACATATTATACAAACCTTTCATTTTACTCTTGTAATTCTTTACCAAATTATTGGTATTATAGTGTTGTTTATGTACATGAATATTACTTTTGCTCTTATCAGTTTACTAATAGAAAATTTATCAGAAATATCACTATATAAAATTATATATAGAATATAATATGGAAGTTGACAAAAACTATGCATTTGTGGCATATATTTAACCACTTAAATACATTGGGGCATTTTGACTACCCCCCTGGGGCAATTTGACCAAACCTTGGGGCGATTTGACCAAAAATCTGGGGCATTTTGACCAAATTGGCCTGGGCGTTTTGTAGCTGGGGCGATTTGACTGGCACCCGTTTTGCAGCACACTCAACCCCATACAATCCATACCTTACATATACCTTACAATTTTAACAATAGCAGAGAGGTAAGTGGTAAATAACTTAAGATGAGACCCATAAAACTGCTCACAACCCTCCAATGATACTGCTACAACAAATTTGTCATGTCCTCACTTTTGAAAAGAAGTCTCTACCAAACACTGTGAGGACACCATGTAAACATTATAAAAAGCTTCTACAAAGAGATGACAATGCATTACCTAAAAAAATCACAAAATCCATGAAAACATTATAAAATTCTCAAAACGTTACAAAGCATTACCAAGTGGTCACACTTGCTGCCTTGGTTTAGTGTGGATCATACAGTATCAATGCCGGGAATGTCTATTCAAGACACAATTTCTTCAGTTTGTTTACTTTAACACAGTTTAAAGTTAGTGGTTACTATCATACAACTGCACTGTTGCCGTCTGCTCTCTTATCTGTGGACTGTCAGTTTAAAGGTTGTATATTTATACCCCATACAAGCACAATGGAGTCCTGTATTACCTTCACAAGTCTTTTGGTGGCAACACTGAGAAGGGCAATCGTTCCCAGACACACGTTTTAAAGTCCTACATGGTCTGGTGTGGTTTTCAACTGGTTTCTCTTTGATGAGTTCGACTTGCACAGCCTTTTCTGCAGTATCTTTGCGAGTTATGGAATATATAAAATACCGAATTACTATCCAAAGACCTGACACTATCACAAACATATCACAGAACGTCAAACATTTCGTATTACATTATTGTTTCAACATGCTGATATAACCATGTGAAACAAACTGGGTTAACGTAAAAATGTATAAATGAAAATCTTACGAAATACGCACTATCTGACGTTAACGCGTTCGTCAAATAACTGATGGTTACATACTATAAATGCTATGAGAATTTTCACTGTACTTAATGTGATGTGCCCTTTAATATTCAGCGCATATTGAACTAATTAACTAAAGTGTTCTTTCCCGTGATCTCAGAAAGTGCTTGATTATCACTTTTTACATATATTTTAAAAAACTACTTATACAACTGTGTCAGTGTATTTATATATTAAAATTTTAGTACACTTGATTTATTAAGTAACTTAAAAGAACTTATACATTGTTCACATTACTATTTATCTGTTATAAAATTAAGAATAATTTCCGACAAAGTTGAAAATAATGTGTTCCTTGCACCGCTGTATTGAAACTAGTTTGGTGCCTAATAGTACAAGACAACTTCCGGGTCCACGTTTCCGTTTCCGAAAATTGTGAATTCAGGTAAACACGTAAACGAACACAGTAATTAGAATTCATTATTTCCTGTTTATTAGAAAAGGATTAATATTCAGTTGCCAAGTCGAGTTGACAGTATGTGTATTGCAATAGGAAAATCTGTCTGTGTATATCGGCATAAATGCTAAAACTCAGTGGTTAGACGTTCTGATGAAATCGATCACCAGACCGTGTTCTTCAGCTGTTCAGGAAGACGTTTTAAGAAAATTTTGTACAAGTATTTGCAACTGAAAAATGAAGTATATCCTAATCTAACCGAGAGCCACCAACAGGGGTGAAAATAACTTAAAATTTCAAGTGTACTCCGGTACAGTGGCACATGTAAAATCAGTTGCCCTGATAATTTTTCAACTATACCGGCAGAATTTCTTGGGTTTTTTTTAAATACGCAACATAATTAACAATAGAAAGTCAACTGGACACCGGTACAGCGTGACATACAAATTTGCTTGCAAGGAGCAGGTGAAGGGTGCCATACCCTAACCCTAAACCTAAGGATTGTAAAGGTTCCCTAACCCTAAGGACCCGTGAAGATCCAGGGTAGAATAGGTCTTCAGCAACCCATGCTTGCCACAAAGGGCGACTATGCTTGTCGTAAGAGGCGACTAACGGGATCGGGTGGTCAGGCTCGCTGACTTGGTTGACACACGTCATCGGTTCCCAATTGCGCAGATTGATGCTCATGTTGTTGATCACTGGATTGTCTGGTCCAGACTCGATTATTTACAGACCGCAGGAATATTGCTGAGTGCGGCGTAAAACTAAACTCACTCACTCACTCACCCTAACCCTAAGGATCGTAAAGGGTGCTATACCCTAACCCTAGGGATTGTAAAGGGTTGTTTGACTCTAAAGATGTGTCAGCTCCCTAAGGATCGGAACCCTCAGGTTGGTTGACTGGCAAGTGAAGGGAGAAGGAGCACTTACCGCGTGATATAGTGAGACAGCACTGGAGACAGCGCTATAGTGCGATAATTGACCCGCAGCGAGGGCTGCTCACGGTAAAGTGCACTCTAGCCAAAACTCTGGACTGGGATGTCGGGCAATGGGTTACTAACTTACTTCCACCCCTGCACCATGTGTCACTACAGGCAAGATATGACCTTGCCTCATGTCTTGACTGTATGTCAGCATCACGGCACTTGGACAATCCTATCCAAATTGGAATGCACAAATGTACCCTAGTGTGACAATGTAAGTCAATGGAGCCAGGACAAGTCTGTTCACATTGCACGAAACTAATCACTGCCTAGACTTACGAATTCCATTTCTAGACTACCTAAACATTTTTTAACTTTGAGTTAAGTGTCACACCGCTTTTTATAGCAATATTCCCACAATATCCCGGCAGGGCACACCAGAAATAGGCTTCACACATTGTACATATGTGGTGAATAAACGTGGGTTTTTGGCATGACGGGCGAATACTTTAATCAGTAGGCTACCCCTTTAGCTTTGACACATCGGCTTATGCCACGCATATGAAAATGAACCATTTAGTGAGACAGCACCATGTGTGGAATCACATTTACATGTTTCACAGTAGATGAGTTACCATGGTGACTTACATCTATGGGCTTGTTATTGGCCTTTCTTAAAATATGAGATACAGCTGATTGATGTTGTCTTTACAGATAGATCTGCCATCGAGGACACCACAATGGTAAGTATTAGATATTTATATTCATCACTTTTATCTTTCAAAATTTATTGGGAATTCTCAGTTCTGTACTTTGAATATGTAAGCAGGAGTTTGCTGCAGTCGGTGTTGTCAGACAATGATGTTGAGTTATGTTGATGCTGCAGGCTACAGGAGCCGATCAGGTTGCAGGGATGGGAATGGTTGGCCTTGCAGGCTTCATCTTCTCCTACTACACACTGTGGGTCATAGTGTTGGTAAGTGGAAAGGAAGTGACCTTATTTGATACATATATAGTATGACCAGAAATTATTGAGAATTTTAGGAATATGTTTAATTGGATTTCTAGTATAAACAACCTTGACCAGCTATCAAGTGCTTGGTTTCATTCAAGAGAGACAACTTCGTTAATCCCTTTTCATTAGTTTGTGAAGAGTTACCCCCTTTGTTTACTTGCTAGCAGACGACATTTTCAGTGATCCTCAGTATGGATGATTTAGAGAAGAGGAAGTTGATTTTAGAGTATTATAACAAGGACATCAGATCAGCTAAAGTGATTTCAAGTAGAACAGGCATCCCTTTGTCTACTGTGTATCGTGTTTTGAAAAATATTGCAAATGGATATGGCATTGAGCACCAGGGAAGCGCAGGTAGGCCCAGAAAATTGACTGTCGGTGACAGGAGGCGGCTTGGTATTCTTGTTTCTAAAACAAACGAAGGAGTTTAGAAAACTTAAGGCTGGATATGATTGATAGAGGAACTGTGGCTGTCTGTAAGGAGACAATTAGAACTGAGCTGCATGCAATGGGTTGGCAGAAAAGTCGAGGAATTCCATCACCGATCATGAAACCTGAACAAAAGGAGCGAAGGTTGAACTGGTGCTTACAGCATAGAAATTTTAACTGGGACAATGTGATTTTCTCAGATGAAAGTTCTGTGTGGCTGTTTCCTAATACACTGAAATTCTGGACCAAACAAACTGAAAAACCTTTGTATCAGCGCCCAAAGTACAGTCCGAAATTTAACGTGTGGGGTGGCATATCTGTGTTAGGGGCCACAGGGGCTTGTAACGCTAAAAACTGCCATCAAGGTATATACTGTCACTAACGGGGTCTTAGTACTATATAAAAGACCCCGTTAGTGACAGTATATACCTTGATGGCAGTTTTTAGCGTTACAAGCCCCTGTGTTAGGGGCAACGCCCCTCTGTGTATTTGAAGGGAATATGAACAGTGAGCGGTACACAGATATTCTCGAGGGACATTTACTTCCATCTGCTCACATGTTCTATGGAAATTGTTGGATTTTTCTAACTTCTTTGATCAGTAGTATGCCCCGCCGCATTGAAGCCTGCATTGCTGCCCATGGTGACTTGACAAAATACTAACTGTTCCCCTGTCTTTGAATCTGGAGTTATGTTCTGCTAATATTCACATTTAATACGTGAGTAATGAGTGAAAATTGTTTAAAAATTACAATCTTTAAATTCTCAATAATTTCTGGTTGTACTGTATATACTACTCACACTTTGATAAGGATCACTAAAATTCACAACTTTACTTAAAAGTAGATTTATAATTTGAAACTGTATCCATTTAAAATGATAAATAATGATATGGTAACCCCTCTTTAGGCGAACAGCCACTTTAATCTAACCATGTGCACTTGATACATGAGTAACCATAAAAATGGTTTTCATGGCACCAATCAACCATTTTGCAAATCATGGAACGCGTCATTGACAAATAAACAACACATGTCAATAGCAGGGATTGAATCAACAAGATGCAATGACATACTGAAACCTAGCATACATGCTAACAATAAGCTTAGATATTTAAACCAAATTTGACCCCACATCATAGTTTTCTGTTGAATCCATGATTTGATCCTTAGCAAAGTGTGAATAGTATATGATATATGAACCACATCTGTGCAAAACTTACTGATCAGTCACAGTGCAATACTAAGAAGATTAAAGGATTGTCACTATATATATACACAAAGTTATTGTGACACACAAACAACCAACAGAATCTGTGGTAAACATATACTTCCGTGAATGAAATGTCATTACATGGAAAGACAAGTGCCTCAAGGTAACAGTCTATAGGAACAGCACTCCTGGCATGTGCTAATGAACCACAACGCAAAAATGGGGGTTCACCAGCAACTTCACACGGTCAGTAGCAAGTGGATTAATGCAGGCCTGGCACCTTCGCCTCATTGAACTTTGAAGCCTCTAAAAGTCAATGAAAGTTCTTGGGAAGATCATTTCATATTCGAGGAAGGAAATGGCAAAGTTTCTGCAACATGTTTAGAAGATTCGGATGACATCCTAAATGTTGCTCCATTTCATTGTAGATATGTTCAGGGGGTGGAAGGGTAGTCTATGTTGGCTCGTCCACGCAAGATCCGGTTCGAATCCCCACATTCAATGAGTCATAATATTCATAGATCATCAGCAGGCTATGGTAACACGTCAACAAGGTTCTCATTAAGATGGAATCTCTGAAATTTTGCCGAGTCCGGCGTTAAACAGCAACAAAAATGTCAGATACTGCTGTACAATCTGAGCTACATATGGTCTGGCATTATCACCACGCACGTCTATTCAACAGAACGACAGCATGAAAAGTGAGGTACGAGGTAGACGGCGAGAGTTACCTGCTCTTGGCTGTAGGGGGGTCCGGTGGGGCCCTGTAGGGGTGGTCTCACAAGACAAAACGAGTTTTTTGTTTTGTAAATATTTTATTAAAAAATATAGTTACAACTGTCGTAGGATTTAAAATGGACATTTAAATGCTTATATGTACCCCAAGGAGGACTTCTTCTGAGAAAGAATCAGATACTGCTGTACAATCTGAGCTACATATGGTCTGGCATTATCATGTTGAAACATTATTCCAGGGCCGTTCTGTGCAATGGGGTACTCAGTGGTTAAAGCGTTCACTCGTCACACCAAAGACTTGGGTTCGATTCCCCACATGGGTACATTGTGTGAAGCCCATTTCTGGTGTAAAACCATCTTCACCCAGGATATTGCTGTTGCAAATATTGGGATAAAGGCCATTTGTTGCCTAAAACTAAACTCAGTCAGTCAGTCAGTCAGTCCTTGCTGTAGCTGGTGTCACGTTCTGGTGTTTCATCCACCATTTAAATACACTCTACCTCTGGTTCAAATCCAAAAACCCATGAAGATCTGGGTTAGAATTGATCTTTCAGTAACCCATGTTTGTCGTAAGAAGCGAGGGTGGTCAGGTTGTTGATCACTGGATTGTCTGGTCCAGACTCAATTATTTACAGACCGCCACCATATAGCTGGAATATTGTGGAGTGCGGCGTAAAATTAAACTCACTCACTCACTCAAACCCAAAACATCATTCACAAGATGACCAATAAAACACTTATGTCACAATAAGTTTTGCCTCGGAGTATATAACTACACATTTTGTTTTCTGCTCCCTTTTCAATCTTCCAAAATCAGAGTAGTTCCAATACACATTACACCACTTCTACTGTACAACATTCAAGCTTAAAGCAATATATTTTATATACCATGTTGTCACTTATCAGGTGTATTTCATTTCTTTTCAGTTTTAAGTTAATTTCATCCTGTTTTGTTTTTGTCCAGCCCTTTGTAGAGCCAGATCAGTGGCTTCACCAGTTCTTCCCAGACAGATTCTACGCCATCGCTGTTCCTCTCATTGCTGGAGTACTGGCCTTAGTTTTGATTGGTAAGGAGTTCTGATTTTCAGCATATCTTTGATCTCAGATGGGGGAGTAGACAAGAGCTTAAAGTGCTTTTTAATCTCTGTAAAACCTGGGTTTAATTCCCCAGAAAGGCATTATATGTGAAGCCTCTTCTGGTGACCCATGCTGGGATGAGGCTGGAGAATTGCTGTAAGTAGAGTAAAACGTGGTACACCCTCTCACAACGTATTCTTGGGTACCACCAGCAGGAGGATCTCTTCTTTAAGGAGACAAAAGTAATATGAGTGAGTGAAGGTTGTTTTATGCCACAGCCTACTTATTCCATACCTTTGCAACATGTAGATAATCAGTTCTTGTTATAACCTGTGATTGTACAAGAAGCATCTGTGATATAAAGACCATAGGATGCCAACATCTGTCCTACACATAACAACCTGATCATGTTAGTCCTCATGTTTTGGGTGCTGTGGAGATGGGGGGGGAGAAAGGAAGGAGGAGAGAGAGAGAGACTGGGCTGGGAGGGGGATAAACCCCTTCAAGATGTTGTGTACAAAATCAATGCCCATGCACGCAACACACACACACCCTTCCCGTAATTTTTAATCATAGTATTTTAAATATTTCATGTACATAAATGCTGACCCCCCTAGTACATGTGTACAAAAATGGGTGACAATCCCACCCCATCCCCTTTTCTTTACAATCACCATCCTCCTTGATATTTTTTTATAAATGGTTCCTTATTTAAAAAGGGTTAAACTGGTATGACATATATACCAGTCCTGTTGCAATTTTGTCTATTCAGTGAATCGAACCATGTGCCTTTATGAATTCAATTCAATTTCATTGTCACTTGTATCAAATATTTAGGAATATTTTTAAGAGAGTGTTTTTACTTGGAACTACGTCTTTGTGTGAGTGAGTGAGATATCATCTACTGAGGAAAGTAATCAGTGACTGTTGTAAAGTGAAGCATGAATCCCAAAGATATGCAGACGCTTTTATATCTCCATTTATTACCCACGTGGTCAACGTATGAGTAGTTGCATACTAATCTCGTACGTCACAACGAGTGTCGTATCGCGTTGACCTGTGTCGTAACGACTTGACCTGAGATTCTAACGATTTGATTGGATAACCGATGACCTCTCAATTAGATCACGTTGTGACAGAACTACTTGTTCATTCATAACAAACACGTGAATTCATTCATTCTACAACTTAAATGCATTGTGGGAATGTAAACATTGCGAACATGGCCGTGTCGCTGTTTAATTGTGAGTCGAACTGAGACATTATATCCCTCGAAAAACATAAACGCAATGTTTCCACCAGTGATGTTAGCTGAGTGAAGCAGTTGCAAACCAAGAAACGGGGTGCTTCAGAGTAGTTTATGGTAGGAGGCTGTACGAGGCGATGACAACTGACATGCATCGTGATATCAGTTACCAAGGGGACAGACAAGAATGGCATGGTGACGTCAATACAGTGTGACGTCATGCAAAAATATACTACAGAACAAAATTCTTCCGCAACCTCTTTATGAAACCAGTTTCGGTTTGAAACCATAACAATAACAAAAATACGCTATTTTGTCAATTTAATGCATGTAAGACGTGGGTAATAAATAAAATACCACACTCGGTCTCATTACATACGAATTATACGAAACTCGTGACCTTCCTATGGTTTCTGACTTCGCTTTCACTCAGTCAGATACCATAGGAAGGACACTCGTTTCAGATGTAATGAGACCTCGTGTAGTATTCTCTATGTATTACTTCACCCAGTCACCCAGTGGCGGGGCGAATGGGGGAGCCTAATGGTTAAAACATTCGCTCGTCACGCCAAAAACCTGTGTTCAATTCCCCACATGGGTACATTGTGTGAAGCCCATTTCTGGTGTCCCCTGCCATGATATTGCAGGAATATTGCTAAAAGCGGAGTAAAACCATACTCATTCACTCACCCACCCAGTGGCATACTTTGTTATTGTTGACATGAAGAACTTTTGATTTAACAATAATGTAGATTAACTATTATTCTGCAACACTGCTGTTTTCTCAGTATGTCTGAGATGTTAGCATAAATACGTTTGTCATCATGTATGCACCAAAAGGAAATGAGATTGAAATTTCCATCTGTGTGTACTACAATAATCTTTCTCTCCAAGATGTTAACAAAAATACCTTTGTCATAATGGTTTCTTTTCTCCTTTCAGGTTTATTTATGGTGATCGTAACAATAAAGAAGAATGCCAAGAAAGTCAAGAAAAGTTGATCCTATAATATTGTTTTGTAATAAAAGTTCTTGTTATGCCATATTTCTCATTGTCATATTCTTTGGATCCACCCCATGGTGTGGGTGTTCGTCACCGCCGGGGCCGGTCTGGTGTACGTTGCATCCTAATCCTTCTCGTGGGGATTACAGAATGTATCAGTTCCCAGCATCCTTTGCTGATTGTTTGTTGGTTGTTTAACATCGCACTCAGCAATATTCCAGCTATACGAAGGTGGCAAGTAATCGCTTCTGGATCAAACAATTCAGTGATCATCATGATGAGCCTTGATCTACACAGATGGGATACAATTACAATGATGTGTCAACAAAGTCAGCAAGTCTGACCACCTGATCATGTTAGTCGCCTCTTATGACAAGCATGGGAAACTGAAGACCAATTCTAACCTGGATCTTCATGGGTATTGTTGATTGTAAGAGATCAGATGGTGGCTTTCTAGACTGTATCATACCCTAATGAAATATATCATTGCTCAAATTATCAGTCAATGGATTTTCCAATCCAGACTCTAATGTTTACAGACTGCCATCATATCGCTGGAATATTGCGAAGCGGTGTTAAACAACAAACAAGATCTTGTAATCCATGTTACTTCCATACACCATAATAGATACATGAAGTGAGGCCAACATTCACGGGACGTGAAGATTATGTTGGATGATTTCCATACATCTGATAATCATTTATACAACAGCCAGACTACTGGCTTCCCATGTTAAGTGCCCACTGATGATCATTTATACAACAGCCAGACTACTGGCTTCTCTTGTTAAGTGCCCACTGATGATCATTTATACAACAGCCAGACTACTGGCTTCCCTTGTTAAGTGCCCACTGATGATCATTTATACAATCGCCAGACTACAGGCTTCTCTTGTTAAGTGCCCACTGATGATCATTGATACAACAGCCAGACTACAGGCTTCTCTTGTTAAGCGCCCACTGATGATCATGTATACAATGGTAAGTGCCCACTGATGATCATTTATACAACAGCCAGACTACAGGCTTCTCTTGTTAAGTGCCCACTGATGATCATTTATACAACAGCCAGACTACTGGCTTCCCTTGTTAAGTGCCCACTGATGATCATTTATACAACAGCCAGACTACAGGCTTCTCTTGTTAAGTGCCCACCGATGATCATTTATACAACAGCCAGACTACAGGCTTCCAGACTACAGGCTTCTCTTGTTAAAGCCCAATCGATGTTGTTAAGTGCCCACTGATGATCATTTATACAACAGCCAGACTACAGGCTTCTCTTGATGATCATTTATACAACAGCCAGACTACAGGCTTCATTTTACAAAGTGCCAGACACCTTGATGACCGATTTATACAACAGCCAGACTACTGGCTTCCCTTGTTATGCCCACCGATGATCATTTATACAATGGTCAGACTACAGGCTCTGTTAAAGTGCCCACTGATGATCATTTATGCTGCAGCCAGACTACAGCCAGCCCACTGATCATTGACTACAGGGCTTCCTCTTGTTAAGTGCCCACTTGATGATCATTGATACAATGGTCAGACTACTGGCTTCTCTTGTTAAAGTGCCCACTGATGATGATCATTGATACAATGGTCAGACTACAGGCTTCTCTTGTTAAATGCCCACCGATGATCATTGATACAACAGCCAGACTACTGGCTTCTCTTGTTAAATGCCCACCGATGATCATTGATACAATGGTCGGACTACAGGCTTCCTTTGTTAAGTGCCCACTGATGATCATTGATACAACAGTCCAGACTACTGGCTTCTCTACCGATGATCATTGATACAATGGTCAGACTAAGCTTCTCTTGTTAAATGCCCACCGATGATCATTGATACAATGGAGCCAGACTACAGGCTTCTCTTGTTAAATGCCCATCGATGATCATTGATACAAGACTACAGGCTTCTCTTGTTAAATGCCCACCGATGATCATTGATACAATGGTCAGACTACAGGCTTCTCTTGTTAAATGCCCACGTTGATGATCAGACTACATTCGTTGATACAATGGTCAGACTACAGGCTTCTCTTGTTAAATGCCCACTGATGATCATTGATACAATGGTCAGACTACAGGCTTCTCTTGTTAAATGCCCACCGATGATCATTGATACAATGGTCAGACTACAGGCTTCTCTTGTTAAATGCCCACCGATGATCATTGATACAATGGTCAGACTACAGGCCTCTCTTGTTAAATGCCCACCGATGATCATTGATACAATGGTCAGACTACAGGCCTCTCTTGTTAAATGCCCACCGATGATCATTGATACAATGGTCAGACTACAGGCCTCTCTTGTTAAATGCCCACTGATGATCATTGATACAATGGTCAGACTACAGGCTTCTCTTGTTAAATGCCCACCGATGATCATTGATACAATGGGTCAGACTACAGCTTCTCTTGTTAAATGCCCACCGATGATCATTGATACAATGGTCAGACTACAGGCTTCTATTGTTAAATGCCCACCGATGGTCATTGATACAATGGTCAGACTACAGGCCTCTCTTGTTAAATGCCCACCGATGATCATTGATACAACAGCCAGACTACAGGCTTCTCTTGTTAAATGCCCACTGATGATCATTGATACAATGGTCAGACTACAGGCCTCTCTTGTTAAATGCCCACTGATGATCAATTGATACAATGGTCAGCCAGACTACAGGCCTTCTATTGTTAAATGCCCAGACCTCGATGGATCATTGATACAATGGTCAGACTACTGGCTTCTCTTGTTAAGTGCCCACCGATGATCATTGATACAACAGCCAGACTACAGGCTTCTCTTGTTAAATGCCCACTGATGATCATTGATACAACAGCCAGACTACAGGCCTCTCTTGTTAAATGCCCACCGATGATCATTGATACAACAGCCAGACTACAGGCCTCTCTTGTTAAATGCCCACCGATGATCATTGATACAATGGTCAGACTACAGGCCTCTCTTGTTAAATGCCCACCGATGATCATTGATACAACAGCCAGACTACAGGCCTCTCTTGTTAAATGCCCACTGATGATCATTTATACAATGGTCAGACTACAGGCTTCTCTTGTTAAGTGCCCACTGATGATCATTGATACAACAGCCAGACTACTGGCTTCTCTTGTTAAATGCCCACCGATGGTCATTGATACAATGGTCAGACTACAGGATTCTCTTGTTAAATGCCGACCGATGATCATTTATACAATGGCCAGACTACAGGCCTCTCTTGTTAAGTGCCCACTGATGATCATTGATACAACAGCCAGACTACAGGCCTCTCTTGTTAAGTGCCCACTGATGATCATTGATACAACAGCCAGACTACAGGCTTCTCTTGTTAAATGCCGACCGATGATCATTTATACAATGGCCAGACTACAGGCCTCTCTTGTTAAATGCCCACTGATGATCATTGATACAATGGTCAGACTACAGGCCTCTCTTGTTAAGTGCCCACTGATGATCATTGATACAACAGCCAGACTACAGGCCTCTCTTGTTAAGTGCCCACTGATGATCATTGATACAACAGCCAGACTACAGGCTTCTCTTGTTAAATGCCGACCGATGATCATTTATACAATGGCCAGACTACAGGCCTCTCTTGTTAAATGCCCACTGATGATCATTGATACAACAGCCAGACTACAGGCCTCTCTTGTTAAGTGCCCACTGATGATCATTGATACAACAGCCAGACTACAGGCTTCTCTTGTTAAATGCCCGACCGATGATCATTTATACAATGGCCAGACTACAGGCCTCTCTTGTTAAATGCCCACTGATGATCATTGATACAATGGTCAGACTACAGGCCTCTCTTGTTAAATGCCCACCGATGATCATTTATACAATGGCCAGACTCATTTTTCCCCACACGCTAGGCCATCATGACCTGATATACAGTTCAGGCCAATCAGTGCAGCGAGGAGACGAGTTCTTCTTGTTTGATGCTTCACCCAGCAATACTGCAGTAATATGACAGTGGCCTGTAATTAACTGAGGACCAGATAATCCAGTGACTAGTGTGAGCAGTGATCCACATTGACACACTATCAGCTGAGCAACATAGGTTGCTTGGGAACTAATCTACCAGGAATCTTCTTGGGGCATTTTCAAATACATCAGGGTACATTTTCATGGGTATAATCCATTTGTACTACCTATCATGTATATATAAAATATTTGTAACTCAGTCAATGTCCACTGTATGACATCACACTTTTCATGAGAACACTGCATCTCACTCCTTTTCAAGACAATCCACCATTGTAAACCCTGTTACATGACACCATTCCATGTGAAACCTTTTTTACAGACATGGCAACATTTGATTTTTTTACCAAGTTCTATGGCTACTCAACTTCTTTATTGCAAAGAGTGTGACATTTCTGTGTAGGTACTAAATCCATTATCAAGCAGGTGGTCATATCCCTTTAGTACCTAAACCGAAATGTCACACCCATTGCAATAAAGAAGTTGATTTTCCACAGAATTTGGTTTCCTTTCATCTTTCAAACTTCTAAAATGCCTCTCAAAGAAATGGCTACTTTTTCAAGATGACACTCCATCCTGATCCCATTTTCAAGGTGATGCTCCATCTTAAACCCTTTTTCAAGATCATGCTCAACTCCTCTTAAAGATTTGAGAGCACTGACAACAAGCTGGTATCTATGTACAGTTTTTTTATACACAAGGAAATGTACAATCAGGCATGTTTCATCAGCTTGGTGGGTGATGGGAGAGAGACGAGGTTGGAGATCTGCTGCATGGAGTTCTGGGTATTCAGACCCTTGAAGGATTCCTTGTCTGAAACAATCACAGAGGTCAGTCAAAAACAATCAAACAGGTCAATCAAAACCAATCACATTTACTTCTTTATGTATCCATTAGCCTATTTTGAAAAGGCCACGCCTACAAGCTTTTACCTGTTCCTTGATTGGCTAATACTAGAGTGGGTGAGGTTTATGCTGCATTATTGTGCCTGTGTCACTGATTGTGTAAATGTGATGTGATGAAATCACTATTGTTGAGTTGATTATATGTAAAACTTCAATGTTATTTTGGGCTATTTTAGGTATAAATGAAAAAACATCCAGTGCACACAATTTGCAGTAATCGCTATTCAGTGAGTGCGTGAGTTTGGTTTTACACCGCTTTTAGCAATATTCCAGCAATATCACGGCGTGGGGACACCAGAAATGGGCTTAACACATTGTACCCATGTGGGGAATCGAACCGGGGTCTTTGGCGTGACGAGCGAACGCCTTAACCACTAGGCTACCCCACCACCCCAATCGCTATTCAGAATCTATTGAAGCTAATTATTGAATAGCTTACATAAGAGTTGTGTTTGTTTTTCCTCCACAGCATCAGCCATCTTGTTGGCTCTCTCCAGCAGGTGAACATTCTTACAGTAGACCTCCATCTGAAACACAACTAGCTGGGATTACTTCCATGTCGTTAGTCATGTATCAATCATAATTAGGAAAGTAGTATTTAACATTCTGAGTTTATGTCCAGATCAGTGGTGTAACAGGCTCTCAGTCTGCTGTCAACTAATTCAGCCAATTGGTCACAAAGTCTAACCATACAGTCCCTGTTGTCATCTCTCTTTTCCCCGATTTAATCCCAGACTCCCCATACATTGAGGGGACCGATTTTAACCCCAGACTCCCCATACATTGAGGGGACCGATTTTAACCCCAGACTCCCCATACATTGAGGGGACCGATTTTTAATCCCAGATTGAGGGGACTGATTTAACCCCAGACTCCCCATACATTGAGGGGACCGATTTTAACCCCAGACTCCCCATACATTGAGGGGACCGATTTTAACCCCAGACTCCCCATACATTGAGGGGACCGATTTTAACCCCAGACTCCCCATACGTTGAGGGGACCGATTTTAACCCCAGACTCCCCATACATTGAAGACTCCCCATGCATTGAGGGGACCGATTGTAACCCCAGACTCCCCATACATTGAGGGGACCGATTTTAACCTCAGACTCCCCGTATGTTGAAGGGAATGATTTTAACCCCAGACTCCCCATACATTGAGGGGACCGATTTTAACCCCCGACTCCCCATACATTGAAGGGACAAATTTTAACCCCAGATTCACCATACATTGAAGGGACCAATTTTAACCTCAGATTCCCCTTATGTTGAAGGGAATGATTTTAACCCCAGACTCCCCATATGTTGAAGGGACCGATTTTAACCCCAGACTCCCCATACATTGAGGGGAATGATTATAACCCCAGTGTAAGAGTGTAGAGTGGACCTATTCTAACCTTGACTCCACACAGATAGATAGCATATTGTGCACAGATACCTTTTTCTTAAACTGGACATCATACAGATACACAGTAAATTCTGTAAAGAAGACCCTTTAAAAACTGGATTGGATATAGATAGACAGTGTATTGTGTTCAGGAGGCCCTTCATAAACTGGGCTCCACACTGCAGGAACAACATATACTGTAGAGGTGACACTTTAAACCATACTCCACACTATGGGAACAACACGTATTGAGAGCAGACCTATTCTCAACCAGACTCCCCAAAGGGAGACAACACCCTGGGCAGACGGGACATGTTCCCACCTGAAGGGCACACTTGTTGAGGCTCATCTGAGTGGACTGTATCAGATCCTGGTAGTCTGGGCTTGGTTTCATGTAGCTGCCCATAGCTTGTGTCTTCACATCCTCAGACATGGATGCTGCCTTCAGCTCAAGGTTTTCATTTTTCCTGGCAAACATCCGATAAGAAATACATAAAATACAAACCAAGAACACCAAGAATGCAATAAGCCATTGAAACAGCAAAATGACAAAACTGAACTTCTACAACACACCTTACAGTCATTATGTGGGATGAGCTTACACAAAAACAATTATAACAGTGAAACCTGCCAACACCGGCACCTGTCAAATCCGGCACACTGTCAAAAATAGCATAAAATTTTGGTAGGCCTATTTTACAACGATATTATGATCATCAAAACATTGTCTAATCCGGCACCTGTCTATTCCGTATTCTGGCATGACTTTCCGGTCCTAACAAGCAATTTTAACTGTAATTAACACTGTCTAAACCAGCATGGGTATGAGCAGTCCAATTAAGGTCCCATAATCCAATACACTAATTAATCCTTTTGGCACGCTAGATAATCAGGAAGTAGTGATTGCACGATGAATCAAACGCTCTAAGCTGGCATGGGTATGAGCAGTCCAATCAAGGTCCCTTAATCCAATACACTCTTCTTGGCATGCTAGATTGAGAGACTGACTAGAGTAAATGGCAGCCATGTTGGAAAATGATCGTCACTGTCTAATCCGGCACCCTGTCTAAACCGGCATTTTATTTCAGTCCCATGGAGTGCCAGTTTAGACAGGTTTCACTGTTCTTTCTTGTCTCTGGCCTACGTGTCCATCTTAAAGCCCCCCAACACAGTGTTCCAACCCCTCCTCTTCTCCCTGGTAGGCACAAATACTTCTCTACTTTCAACTCACCAGTTGTTCCCCTCCCCACCCCCACTCTCTCCTAGGTGAGTCTACACGATGTCTGTTGCCTGTTACTCCACTTTCAAGTCCCCCTACCCAACTTTACATACACATACTTGTCTGCGGCCTCCTTGTCCATCTTCAACTTCCCCAGCATGGCATCCCACCTCACACTCTCCTCTTCCAACCTGTAACAGAGACAAGTGTCACACTGGACAAACACTGACTCAGGTCCGGGTGGCCCATCTTTACATATACATTATGGAAGACAGCTCTATCACCTTGTTGAGTGCATAAACAATGCCGTAAAACAAACCATCCTGTGAATGATCAACAAAGTAATGACTTGTTATTTGAAGCCAAATAGCATCTAACTGTCCTACCTGGTTATAATGCTAACCCGGATATAATGCCATATTTTCTCCTGGACAAACGGTGGCATTATAACCAGGATATAATGTATAACAAATTTATACATCTCTGTACAACTGACATTGTAAACCAAAAGTCACTGTGTTCTTTAATCTGATTGGTTGAAAAACGTGATCAAATGGTATTTGATTCCCGGAGATTCTCTGCGTATTAATACATACAAACATCGCTCACACCATTGTATTGTTACGTCGTCAGCTGTGATGACGTCATTAAAATCATATTGTGACGTAAAGTCCGAATGACGTCACAAATGAGCAGTTCCAGATGCTACCATGGGAGACAGCCGAAACGGCCGGCTGATGACATTTCACTGCTGTACCCGTACTCGATGTCAATGAGAGCAGACACAAAAAACGAGTGTGGACCTTTCGGTTTACTTTTGTGTTTACAATGTCGATAAACATCATGTGTTGGCGAATTTCGGGTGTTATTGAGTATTTGAAGCACGGGAATATTTCATTTGAAACCTCCGGCTGACGCCGTCAGTTCCAAATGAATTCCCGTGCTTCAAATACTCAATAACACCCGGAAATTCGCCAACACATGATGTTTATCTCCTAAATGGATAACCTTAAATTTCCTCGGTCATAGCAAAGAGCACCAGACAGAACTAGCCTTCCAAACATTTTTCCTCATGAAATGTTAATTACATAAGCACCAACAGATGTAACCAGATTTCAATTTGTTATGTCTAGTGACGGTTTGTTGTTTTACGCCGCTGTCAGCAATATTCCAGCTATATGGTGGTGGTCTGTAAACAGTTGAGTCTGGACCAGACAATCCATTGATCAACATCATGAGCATCGATCTATGATTGGGATACAATGACACATGTCAACCAAGTCAGCGAGCTTGACCACCTGATCCAGCTAGTCGCCTCCAATGACAATCATTGGTTGCTGAAAACAAATTCCAACTCGGATTTACACTGGTAGAAAATATTCAGGAATTGCCATTTGCTACAATACTATCTAGATATGTATAAAAATTCAGCATTAAAGACACAATACAGAGACAATTAGGGCTACAATGAAAACACTATGGAGCAAATACCATACACATTACAAATATAGGGTAACAAATATGAATATTTATTTATGAATACTTAATGTTTATTGTCAAAGAATTCAAATAACAAACATGTCATGTAATTGATTAGTTTGAAGCAATTCAGTGTTCATTTTGTAAAGCAAATGCATTCTAACAATGCTGTGGTATAGAGGCCTATGACGCTGGCCTTTCGCAAAATGACATAACTTACGCTTATGCATTGACGTTATACATTCCATTTTCCATCTATCTCTTTGATAAATAACAGACAAGTTCAAAGCAAGAAACACTATGTCTCAAAAATTATGCTAAATGTTCACTTATAGTAACCACAAATAATGAATTCATGAAAGAAAACTGTATAATTCACCAAATACAGAATCATCACAGCCCTATGCACAATACATTGTAAAACACTTACCTGTTCATGTTAAGTTCAATTGCTTCTATATTAGCAGTAAAATTGTCATTCAGAGGATTAGGAAGTTGCCTGCAAGTTAAATGACATAAAATCATACACATAGAAAAGATCTGTTCAATTTCTGATTGGATCAATATCATGTGCATTCTTTGTGTGACAGAAGTTGCCTGCAAGTTAAATGACATAAAATCATACACATAGAAAAGATCTGTTCAATTTCTCATTGGATCAATATCATGTGCATTCTTTGTGTGACAGAAGAAACTTGCAGATTTCATGCAGCATGTGTTAGACACCTGCACCAAACCTCCCTGTTGTATCACTAGTGAAATCACTTACTCCAGGGTTTTACCTCAACTCACATGGCAGTGTTCACGAATGGTGTTTCAAAGTAACAGGACATTGGGTCCTGTAAGTTTCAGATGTCGGCCTGACCAATTGAAAATTCACAGGACCCATAGAATAAAATTAAACATACATTTCAGATTGAACATTTCTTATAATTGGTATTGAAATTATTAACAAACATAAGATTTATGAGCAGCAAACAAGTGTCACATGTCACATATAACAACTTCAGTCAAAGTCATTGTGAAATATACAGTCAGACACTAGGGCTGGCAGGTTGTAGACTTCTGTCGGACCGTTGGCGAATCTGCCGGATTTGTCAGAGGGGCAGACGCTATTCGTGAACACCGACATGGGGGTGCCCAGAGATGCCAACCCCAAAGTGTTGCAAATAGTAGTTTCAGGGATCAAAATACCATTTTGGTGGAACCCCGGAGCACTGGTATTACGAACAGAGAAACATAATCAGGGGGAATATAAGACCTGTATCGGACAAAGAATATCCTTACATGTAGGTAGGCTGCTATACTCACTGTTTTCTGGAGCAGGCATGCTTGAACAGATCCTCATCCTGGAGGCGGGAGATCACCTCATTGCCGCCTTCCTCGGCTGCAGACAGAGTGAGTGGGTAAATGAGCTTGCGTGAATGAGTTTGTGTGCGCGAGTGAGTGTTTGAGTGAGATTGTGAGTTGTGTGATTTGAATAAGTGAGTGAGATGGTGAGTGGGTGGAAAAGTACTGTTTGTGTGTGAGTGTATGTGTGTGAAGTGAGTGAGTGAGTGAGTGAGTGAGTGAGTGAGTGAGTGAGTGAGTGAGAGAGAGAGATAATGTATGAGGAAGTAAGAGCTTGATTGAGTGTCAAGAGAGTCAGTGACTGAAAGTGGTTTTTCACTGCTCTTAGCAATATTCCAGCAATATCATAGTTTGGGTCACCAAAAATGGGCTTTACACATTTTGACCACTCCAGCACTTCACTGGTTTACAATGTCATTCTTGTACGTCCATCACATTGCCAAATGTCAATTGTTACAGAAAAATACCCATCACCTTCAATGTCGTCTTCTTGGTACAGTGACACCATACTGCCTACCAATCCAGAAGGAACACTCCAGACATTCAGTATATATACATTTTTTATTTCCAAAACTATCCTTCATTTTTAGGATAATTTGTTATGAACTGACATCCCAGATGAATGAGGAAATGAAGTATCCAGGAAATGAAGAAAGTTGTAAAAGATGAACCATACCAACCGTTAACTCGGAACTTGTCAAACCAGTCTTCACCTTTGAACTCTTTTGCTAAAGTATCTACTGTGTACTGAAATAATAACACAACAATAACCATTTCAGTAAGTCACTACACTGAAGGTAACTTAAGAAACACAAACTATTGATTTCACAAAAACAAGACCCGTTGGTACATCTGGCTTCTTACCAGGCATTTATCTGAGTTACAAACTAAGAGTCTTCGGCTAGCAAATTTGGAAAACTATGGTGAAATTGTCCAAACGTTTTTCATTTTCAAGTCTGCGAACATTCTGAGAAATTTGGAAATTGTTTTACCTTAAATTTGATTTTTTACTGCTACAATAAAAGAGTGAGTGAGTTTTGTTTTACACTGCACACAGCAATATTCCAGCTATATGGCGGCAGTCTGTAAATAATCAAGTATGGACCAGACAATCCAGTGATCAACAGCATGAGCATGGACCTACGCAATTGTTATACGATGACATGTGTCAATCAAGTCTGCGAGCCTGACCACCCGATCCCGTTAGTCGCCTCTTACGACAAGCATGGGTTACTGAAGACCAATTCTAACCTGGATCTTCATGGGTGTTCTTATTTGAACCAGAGCTAGAGTGAGTTTAAATGGTGGAAGAAACAAAAGAGTGTGTGTGACACCAGCTACAGCAAGGATTCCTGACTTTGGGAAACCTGAATGCTATGAGGTAACAAGACGATATTTTGCAAATGGCCAATACCCCATTGTGGCAACAGAACGGTCCTGGATCGAGTGAGTGACTGAGTGAGTATGGTTACAATAAATAACAACAGAACTGGGTATGAAGATCAGTTTTTGAGGAGGCATAGATAAATGCCTTCATGTGAACCTATTTTCTATTCTAAACTAGTGAGTTTCTGAATATTTGTTTCAAGACATTTTACATGAAGGATATGACCAGTTCATAAACCACAAAATCCTTTAAAGTATTGTCAAGGTTGTTTTCAAAGTACAAGGAATTGTTCTATCACTTGTAAGTAAGGGATAAAAAGGATGAATCTTCAAACTTACCATGTTCATAAGAAACTGTAATATCCCGAACATTTTAACATGGCTGTTCTGTTCATCTGTCTTACTTTAAGAATATCAACACGGATCAAATGCTAACATGTTCAAATAATGAACAAGCATTGTCACTTAGGTGACATAATCCCCCGCCGCAACTTATCAAATCAAACTTATAAAGTAATGAAAGTTTAAGATGAAGTTAAATGTCAACAAAAACATGACCAGTCAACCACTCATGATATCTTGCTCTTTAGTTGTTCAAACACGCACATAGTTTCAAGACTGACTTTGACCTTGGCATGAATGTCATAGTGTACGAAATATGTAAAACAGTACTAAAGAAATTGCTTATTGAAAAACATTCAAGGGAAGTCTTGAAAGTCTATGAAGAAAATCCAGTGAACCGTTCTTGAAATGTCTTGTTGACAATTCAGGTTAACATGCTGAAATCTTCAAAGTGTCGCCAAGACCCTGAAAATTATGTGAAGGTCACCAAAATTGACTGGGCCCTGGGCCTTCCCTAGATGAAGCTTGGTGTCAAATACGAAGAAGATCCAGTGAATATCTTTTGCGATATCTTGCTGACTATCTTAACGTGCAATTTAACATGCTGAAATCTTCAAAGTGTCTCTGTGACCTTGAAAATTATGTAAAGGTCACCAAAATCGACTGGGCCCTGCGCCTTCCCTGGATGAAGCTTGGTGTCAAATATGAAGAAGATCCAGTGAATATCTTTTGCGATATCTTGCTGACTATCTTAACGTGCAATTTAACATGCTGAAATCTTCAAAGTGTCTCTGTGACCTTGAAAATTATGTGAAGGTCACCAAAATTGACTGGGCCCTGGGCCTTCCCTAGATGAAGCTTGGTGTCAAATATGAAGAAGATCCAGTGAATATCTTTTTGCGATATCTTGCTGACTATCTTAACGTGCAATTTAACATGCTGAAATCTTCAAAGTGTCTCTGTGACCTTGAAAATGATGTAAAGGTCACCAAAATCGACTGGGCCCTGCGCCTTCCCTGGATGAAGCTTGGTGTCAAATATGAAGAAACTCCATAGAATGGTTCTTGAGGGAACTCGCTGACAAGCATAACATGCAGGTTTATATGATGAAATCTTCAAAGTGTCGCCATGACGTTGAAAATTATGTGAAGGTCACCAAAATCGACTGGGCCCTGCACCTTCCCTAGATAAAGTTCGGCATTGAGTATGAAGAAAATCCATCAAATGGTTCTTCAGATAGCTTAACATGCAGGTAAAATGTTAAAGTCCCCTTGTGACCTTGAAATGAAAGTCAAGGTCACCAAACCTGACTTGGACCTTTCTTATACTGCGATGAACCTAGGTTACCAAATATGAAAAGAATCTAGAGAACTGTTCTTAAGATATTCTAATTCATACATACGGACGGACGGACAGACTGACGGAGCCTAATACTATATCCCCCGCTTCACACTAAACGTGAGACGGGGAATAAAAAATCTAGGTGAATAACAAACCCACAGAGAAGGTGTCAAGCAAGGGACACAACTCTGTTATCAATGGTAACGCCTTGGCATCCCAAGAGTGAGTGAGTGAGTTTAGTTTTACGCTGCTTTAGCACTATTCCAGCAAAATCTTGGAGGGGGACACCAGTAATGGCCTTCACACATTGTACCCATGTGTGGAATCGAAAAAGGGTCTTCAGCTTCACGAGCGATATGATTAACAGTTTACCTGAAGACAGAGTCGTGTTAGTTTTGTTAGTCGATCTTCTTTTGACAATTCCTTTTCCACCATTCTGTGTAAATCTGTAAGAACAATATTGACTGTGTTAAAGGATTCAACTGCATATTCAACTGAGGGGCTTTGCCAAGACAGTGTATAAAGTTAATTCTTCTCAATAATTGTATAGCAGCTAAAGAATACTGTGTGTATCTGTTAGTCTCTGGCAGTTGTCACATCTAAATAAGAGCAGTATGGTAGGTCCTGTACCTTACCAGGGCTTGATTTAGTGCTTTGTTACTTGCACTGGTGCAACTAAATATTACAAAGTGCAACCTAGTTATTAATCTAAATTGCACCAAGTGCAAGTCAATTTTTGAGTGGGTAAACTTCTGAATAAAACATATAAATAATTCAATAGCATGTTTCTTTCATTACATTTTGCAATTAAAGCAGTCCAACCGGAATTTGGCTGGTGCAACTAGTTTTTTATCCTGGTGCAAGTAGGTGAACATCTCTTAAATCAAGCCCTGCTTACCATTAGCTGATGACACATCCCGAGAGAGCAGGGACACTCTGTTAGCTGTGAAGCTGGATCTTCTCTTTGTCTTAGTTTTCTGTCCACTCATGGTTCCAGCTTCATCTGTCTGTTAACACTGAAAAATGGAGACTAAAGATGCAATGCTCAACTTAAATCTAATATAATAAATGTAAGTCACAAATCATGACCATGTCACCATGGTTTCATAATGACTGTTACATTAAAATTTAAGACCACCCTTAATTCTACCATTATACCAATATAGATAATAATATATTACCATTTTTTACTAATAATCATATTTTCATACAAACAATATTGAAGTATCATCAAATCATAGATTTTCGGACGAGGTGTGTTGCATCACACAGACATCGAAAATTCTCAAATGATGCTTTGTGTCAGAGGTACAGATAAGCTGCGTATCTGCGTAAATTACACAAATATTTATGTGAAAACTCAATTCCTATTAATCTATTGTGTACAAGTACGTTTGAATTTTTGTAAATACTCGATAAATGTGATCTTACAAGCGTACACACAAAATGTCAAATCTTAGCTTTCGTACCAGTGAATAGATAAAAGTAACTGTGGTATACTAAGAGGTTCTATTTCAGGACATGAACTTCACAGCTTGCAGTCTTTCTTATCGTTTCTCGTATAACAGATCAAATACATATAATGTACACATGTATAAATAACAAACACTAACAATTAAACTTTATTATACATGTATTTTTAAAATAAATGGAAAATGGCTTAATACCCAATTGAGTTTGAGTGACTTCTTTGAGAGGCATATAGAAGTTGGGGCAGAAAGGAAGGATAACAATATATGGATGAACAACTTCTTTATTGCTGTGAGTGCGACGTTTCGGTGTAGGTTCTAACACTGTTATCAACATCACTCTCACAGCAATAAAGCAGTTGTTCATCCATGCATTGTTATCCTAGGACCTTACTTCCTGAGTTTGAGTGAGGTGAGTACAATATATTTGGTTCCTTAAAGGAAAAGTTAGGATACCCAAATGTAGGGCTGGGATGATACACTATGATACGATACACGATACATACACATCACGATACATACACCTTGAAAGAATGACACAGTATTAAGATTTAAAATGATTTATTTCAAGGTATTTGTGTATAACTATAACACTATTGTAATAAACAAACAAGTAACTCCATCATACTTGCGTATTTTTCTCTAAAATAAGTACTTTAACATGTTTAAGATAATACTGTTTTGACAAAAAGTCGTGAATCTTTTTGTATTGATACACCAGTCGACGATACGATAGCTGTATCAAACTTCAATGTATCGTGATGTAATGGTGCATCGGTGAATCATCCCAGCCCTACCCAATATTGAGATGAACACAAGCAAGAACATAACTCAATGACCCAAAACGTTATCTGTAGCTCTGCTTGTGTTGAAGATAAAGTTGTGTATTGTAAATTAGTAATCCATTTTACAGTTGTTCATGTTATTTAATAGCAAGGTAACAAAATATTTTTAGAGTCAGAAAACAAATGATATAAGGATATACTTGAACTGGCTATTGAGCAGTTATCATCAGGGTCCACCAGCCTCCTAATACTGCTGGGCTCATTTTACAGTTACTTTTTGTCATTAGAAGGGGAGAAATATTTATCAGACAAGATCACTAAAAGATGTAAATGAACAAAAGATGTGAATATGATGTCTGAGATTATAAATAACGCAACAAATAGCTTGATTACATCTCGTGCTGTTCGATTAGTTGATGGGAATTTTCGGTCTCTACTTTTTAAAATAGAAAAAAGATGTGATATTGATAACTGGTCGGTTGCAGAGAGGGTTTGACTGTCTGTGGGATTAATGCAAGATAAAAACATTAATTCTACATTTGCTTATTCTATCTTAAACATTCAGTACTGTGTGCATCATGTTTCATGGAAATAGACTCGCAATCTGATTATCAGCTGGTGGAGTTGTCGGCGCTGACAGTGCGCGAAAATTAGGCCCCTTCGTCTAGTTCAGCAAGCTAAACGGCAGGAACACGACGTTTAGCTTGCTGAACTACCCCTTCGTCGAACATTGAACGCGTTACAAAAATCTACGATGCTAACATAAGATTCATTGGTCTTATTTAAGGGTACACATACAGATGGAGGGAATTCTCGTACAAACAGGTATTATTCTATTTCATGTGACATACCATGTATTCTTCTTTGGAGTTCTGTGTTGCTGTGTACATTCAAAATGTCATATCTACCGCCATTTGGGGTTCTCTAAAACTGAGATGGGTTTACAGCCGAAATAGGATTTATCCATGCAAGGTAGTTAATGCTTTGGTTTTCATGTAGACTAACGCCTAGTCCTTGAATGCATATAATTTTGTCAGTAACAAATAATACCATTTAAACTGAAAAGGAGCCCCAGTGAGATGGTAGATGAGGGAGGCAGTAGGGAAAACAATGCGGTTCAGGAACTGTGAGTTCAGCGAGTGAGTTTGGTTTTACGCCGTCTTTAGAAATATTCCAACAATACCACGGTGCTGGACATCAGAAATGGGCTCCACACATTGTGCCCATGTTGGAAATCGAACCCCGGGTATTCAGTGATTATGATGTAGGACTGCCTACAGTGACGTAGATTATTCATTCATTCGAAGTGATAGACTATGTTGATGGACCCGTGAAGAACCAGCTAGTTAGAATTGGTCTTCAGCAATCCGTACTTGCCGTAATATCTTGAGGATTTTTATCTAACAAAACTGTATATCTTAACAGTACTACAATGGCTATGGCATCCATCCACAAAAATATGGGACCCCTGATTAACAGACAACCGCCATATAGCTGGAATACAGCCTGGTCCCCCTGGTCCCTGGGTCTGACACACTGTCGGAGCGTAGCGCAGGCGCAACAGACCCAGGGAACCAGGCTGGCCGGAATATTGCTGAGTGTGGCGTTAAACATCAAACAATATGTTGGACAAACGACGATGTGGAAGACACTCTGAAGGAAGAGTTTGCAGATATCTGGCCATTGCCTGATGACTTTTGTCAGGCAGTTTCTATTTCTCTTTGTAGGAGACAGTCTTATGCATGATCATTGACAAGTACACTAGACGAATCTGGCATTGGCCACAAAAAATGACGCGGATAAGTGTCTAAGGTCTACCTTATCGAGATATTTGTAAAACTGTGGAGCATGTTGTAGACAAACTAATTTGATTGGGGTGGAGTGTGTGCGGGATTTATCTTTGGTCCAAGAGAATGAATTGACTGGAGGACTGGAACACGCGCGCGCGCAAACACACACACACACATCATCATCATCATCATCACCACCACCACCACCACCATCATCATCATCATCACCATCATCATCCATCATCAGCAGCAGCAACAGCAGCATCATCCATCATCATCATCATCATCATCATCATCATCATCATCATCATCATCATCATCATCATCATCATGTCTTTCCAGAAAGTGAAAATAATCTCAGTGATTGCTTTACACCTCGTACCACTGGTACATTCTCACCATCTCCAGCGCCACCTATTGTGTTTGAGGGTAGGAATAGAGACCCAAACTGGCCATCAAACTCGACTTAAAATGGAGCTCGGTGAGAAGGGATCATGTGAAGCCTCTGAAATCTAAACTCGTGCCAAGACTGAAGAGTGACCTCATTAGACATTTAATGGATATGGTAAGAAATGAAACATACTACGTTATTAAGTTGATTCACGTCTTGTTTATTGCTTACTGCATATATCTCTATGTAATAAACAAGACGTTGTCATCCATAAAGTTGTATGCTTCATTTTTGTTTCACCAACGTCTAGAATACCGATCAAACAATTGATATGGTCAGGGCTGTGACTTTACAATTGTCAACATTGCCCAAGGAGCAGTTGCAAAATATCCCGAATCTCTGGAGGATAGCATATATGATGATGTTGTTGGATCCGGCTATGATCCGTTGTTGAACCGCTTAATTGCAAGAGATGATAACCTCCCTTGATGGGCATCTTACGACAAGCATGGGTTACTGAAGGCTCAGTCTAACCCGGACCTTCACGGGTTGATCTTTAGTAAGCCATGCTTGTCTTAAGAGGCGACTAATGGGATCGGGTGGTCTGGCTCGCTGACTTGGTTGACACATGTTATCGTATCCCAATTATGTAGATCGATGCTCATGCTGTTGATCAGTGGATTGTCTGGTCCAGACTCGATTATTTACAGACGGCCGCCATATAGCTGGAATATTGCTGAGTGCACTCACTCAGTGAAGCTTTAAAAACGCTGAATGAAAGACATGTGGATGAAATTTCCAAATTTGACTAACTTGACAGACTGTCCGATGAAATTCTAACTTGATTTTGCATGAGTTTAGGTTGGGTGCCACAAGTCGGACAGGAGACTATCACCTATCCCCGAGCAAATGGCGTCATCACAATCTGATATTGGTTATAAAACATTTGCTTATATATGGTCAGATACGTTCAACAGATTCCGCTTTCAGTGTCACAACAATCGACTCTGCTTTTAGCAGAGATTTCTTATGGCTGTGGAATGGAGACTGTTTGGTGCTTATAATTTTAGGTGCGTTGAAAGAATCCTGATGCTTATTCGGAAACAGGCCTTGGCAAATAATGTCTGACTGATCTTGGATACAAGAGAAAGCAATAGTTGTTTTGGCCTAGAATGCTTGGTCTAGATTTCTTTTATCTGTGAGTGCCACGTTTCCCGCCCAGCAAAAATGACAACAGTATACGAATCTGTACCGAACCGTCGCACTCACAAAAAAAGTTGTTACCCATAAATTTGTGATTATTCTCCAGGCTACTGAGGCGGAATGATAGAAGCACCAGTTGCCGGAAGCACCAGTAGCCAGAAGCACCAGTTGCCGAATGCCCCAGTAAACGAATGCACCAGTAGCCGGATGCACCAGTTGCCGGGTGCACCAGTAGCCGGATGTTATCCATAAATTTGTCATTATTCTCTGAAGCAACCAAGCTACTGAGCGAAAATGATGGTACGGGATGCACCAATAGCCGGGTGTACCAGTAGCCAGATACACGGAAGCACCAGTAGCTGGGTGTACCAGTAGCCAAATGTACGGATGCACCAGTAGCCGGATGCACCAGTAGCCAGATGCACGGCTGCAACAGTAGCCGGGTGTACCAGTAGCCAGATGCACGGATGCACCAGTAGCCGGATGCACCAGTAACCACATGCACGAGTGCACCAGTAGCCGGGTGTACCAGTAACCAGATGCACCAGTAGCCAGATGCACGGATGCACCAATAGCCGGACGCACCAGTAGCCAGATGCACGAGTGCACCAGTAGCCGGGTGTACCAGTAGCCAGATGCACCAGTAGCCAGATGCACGGCTGCAACAGTAGCCGGGTGTTTAAGTAGCCAGATGCATGGATGCAACAGTAGCCCAGTAGTCGGGTGTACCAGTAGCCAGATGTACGGATGCATCAGTAGCCGGGTGTACCAGTAGCCAGATGCACGGATGCACCAGTAGCCGGATGTACCAGTAGCCAGATGCACGGATGCAACAGTAGCCGGGTGTATCAGTAGCCAGACGTACGGATGCAACAGTAGCCCAGTAGCCGGGTGTACCAGTAGCCAGATGCACGGGTGCGCCAGTAGCCGGGTGTACCAGTAGCCAGATGCACCAGTAGCCGGATGCACCAGTATCCGGGTGTACCAGTAGCCAGATGTACGGATGCAACAGTAGCCGGGTGTACCAGTAGCCAGATGTACGGATGCATCAGTAGCCGGGTGTACCAGTAACCAGATATACGGATGCACCAGTAGCCGGGTGTACCAGTAGCCAGATGTACGGATGCATCAGTAGCCGGGTGTACCAGTAGCCAGATATACGGATGCGCCAGTAGCCGGGTGTACCAGTAGCCAGATGCACCAGTAGCCGGATGCACCAGTATCCGGGTGTACCAGTAACCAGATGTACGGATGCATCAGTATCCGGGTGTACCAGTAGCCAGATGTACGGATGCATCATTAGCCGGGTGTACCAGTAGCCAGATGTACGGATGCATCAGTAGCCGGGTGTACCAGTAGCCAGATGTACGGATGCATCAGTAGCCGGGTGTACCAGTAGCCAGATGTACGGATGCATCATTAGCCGGGTGTACCAGTAGCCAGATGTACGGATGCATCAGTAGCCGCTGCAACAGTAGCCGGCTGTATCAGTAGCCAGATGCACGGATGCAACAGTAACCCAGTAGCCGGTCGTACCAGAGCCAGATGCACAAATGCACCAGTAGCCGGAGTGCTGGGTGAAGGTATGTCACAGCCAAAGCAGGGGTAACAAATTCACCCTGCACAATCAATAACCCATAGCTGTTAATCTCTTTTAATCCCCCAAGAGAGTTGGGTAAGTACCTCCATGATACAGAGCTCCAAATCTTTTACGTAACTTGTAAACCAATATAGAATTTGAGATTTTAAGATTCAGAACAAGTAATCACCACCTCCGTGTAGAAGTTGGCCGTTGGGCAAATGTTCCTAGAGAATATCGTCTTTGTAATTGATGTAACTCCCATGCAGTGGGAGATGAACTCCGTTATCTGTTCAAATGCGAAGCTTTATTACTGTACAGACAAACACATTTACCTTTTTACAAGAATTCAATTACCCTAACAAACGCGTAATCTTAACATTCTTGCTATGTATATTAATGTAATATAACTAATATTTAAGTCCACAAAGATCCATTAACGTTTTGGATGTTTTGGTTTCTATTTGCCATCGTGACATTTTAATTTATATGAATATTCACATTTTTGTATTCTCACGTACCACCCTTGGTGGTGTTTCGAGAAATTAATTGAATTGAATTGATCTGGGAATGAGCACATGTGTTGTCTATGACAGTGATGGCTGGATTAACGAGGCCAGAGAACCCAGTCAGTGACAACACCAGTAATGGCGGGGTGATGATGTCGAGTCCTTCCGTCCGAGTGTTACAAGAGCTGCACATTTCTGAGTTTTGTGTTTGTTCGTTACATCCACATCTGTAAATAATCTGAGAGACGTGTTTTTGTAAATATATTATGTAAAACTCTCCACAAGGCAAAAAACAACAGTTACTGACTATACAACAACGTCATTACAATGTTGAGTTTTGTGTTTGTTCGTTACATCCACATCTGTAAATAATCTGAGAGACGTGTTTTTGTAAATATATTATGTAAAACTCTCCACAAGGCAAAAAAACAACAGTTAACGACTAAACAACAACGTCATTACATTGTTGAGTTTGTGTTTGTTCGTTACATCCTCATCTGTAAATAATCTGAGAGAGGTGTTTTTGTAAATATATTATGTAAAACTCTCCACAAGGCAAAAAAACAACAGTTACTGACTATACAACAACGTCATTACAATGTTGAGTTTTGTGTTTGTTCGTTACATCCACATCTGGAAATAATCTGAGAGAGGTGTTTTTGTAAATATATTATGTAAAACTCTCCACAAGGCAAAAAACAACAGTTACTGACTATACAACAACGTCATTACAATGTTGAGTTTTGTATTTGTTCGTTACATCCACATCTGGAAATAATCTGAGAGACGTGTTTTTGTAAATATATTATGTAAAACTCTCCACAAGGCAAAAAACAACAGTTACTGACTATACAACAACGTCATTACAATGTTGAGTTTTGTGTTTGTTCGTTACATCCACATCTGTAAATAATCTGAGAGACGTGTTTTTGTAAATATATTATGTAAAACTCTCCACAAGGCAAAAAAACAACAGTTAACGACTATACAACAACGTCATTACATTGTTGAGTTTGTGTTTGTTCGTTACATCCACATATGTAAATAATCTGAGAGACGTGTTTTTGTAAATATATTATGTAAAACTCTCCACAAGGCAAGAAAACAACAGTTACTGACTATACAACAACGTCATTACATTGTTGAGTTTGTGTTTGTTCGTTACATCCACACCTGTAAATAATCTGAGAGACGTGTTTTTGTAAATTTATTATGTAAAACTCTCCACAAGGCAAGAAAACAACAGTTAACGACTATACAACAACGTCATTACATTGTTGAGTTTTGTGTTTGTTCGTTACAACTACATCTATAAATAATCTGAGAGACGTGTTTTTGTAAATATATTATGTAAAACTCCCCACAAGGCAAGAAACAACAGTTACTGACTATACAACAACGTCATTACATTGTTGAGTTTTGTGTTTGTTCGTTACATCCACATCTGTAAATAATCTGAGAGACGTGTTTTTGTAAATATATTATGTGTATCTCTGCATACTATAACTGCTGCTGTCATCTGCAATAGGCCTATGTGAATATAATCTAGGATAGATGGACCACAAGGTGGCAATCTGTTTAGTAATTGTGACATACCGCGCACCTGCTACCATGAAATGTAATTGGGTCGATTTAAAGCTCATAAATTAATATTGAAACTGAGTAAGCAGCCAGATGAAGAGATTTTGTCGTACTTGACTCATATTGACGCCAACCTTCTGCTTCTCTAAAGAGATTGAATCTAGTGTTAGATAGATTTGATTATTGGCTAAATTTGGTTCAGTTAAACTTTGTTATCGTGTACCCGGTTAACTTTTCGAAATGTGGAGATGTGTCTAAAGAGCATTTTTGCATTTCATCGGATGAACGGGGCTTCAAAATATAAGTGCAAAGGTGAACCCATTATTGTGAAAAGAGGAATACAACTGTACCTCCCACATTGCTGATTCAAACGGATAGATGGCGACAATACTGCACTTGAGGAACATGAGGTCTTGGATCCCAACAGATTGGATGTCAAGATTGGTATGTATCGGTGTGATTTGGTATAGAATCAAAAGGGTGGATGGATAAATTGGGTTGATACTGCACCTGAGGAATATGAGGTCTTGGATCCCAGAAGAGTGGATGTCAAGGCTGGTATGTGTCAGTGTGATATGGCATCAAGAGAGATGGATGAACTGCTGTTGATGGCGAGGGGGGCAAGTGGTGTAGCTGGTAAGCTCTGAGCATTATGATGGTCCATGTACCCTCATACGCAGAATACAGAACACCACGGATCAGCGTTGATTGGTCCAGTGACATTATTTTATCGCTAATATCCTGTGGAATGTTTGCTGGTGGTTGAGACTGATTGTTCCGTTTGTATTATTCTTTTCGCAAACACCTGGTGTCATCAGCCATCCCCAGTCATGCATCCATATACATGTAGTTTTCACCACTGCCTTACCTTTCACGCCGGAAGGTTCCGCTACTGTTTGTTTGTTTGTTTAATGCTGCACTACACAATGTGCCAGCCCGTATAACGGTAGTAAAGAATCAAGTCTGGACCAGACAATCCAGGGATTGATCTCATGAGCATCCATCCACGTATTTGGGATACGATGACGTGCATCAATCAAGACAGCGATCCTTAGACAAACATGAGCCGCACGCACACTTGCACGCATGCACACACACGCACACAAACAACAGAAAATTTCATCAATCGCAAAACTAACTAGATCATGTGTCATGAATTAGCATTCCCAATCTGGTGGACATTTGTCAACACGGACAAAACGCCATCTTATATCATCGTGTCAAATGTCTCCCTGATTTTCAGTTTGTACAAGTGCTTAACAAATGTGTCCTCAATTTACAGATCTTTAGCCGCTTCTTAAAGTTCCTGTTGAAAGTTTCGGTCATGGTGGGTCTGCTGCTGGCAGCACAAAGGTTGACCTCAAAGAAACCAGCCCTTCCTTCACGTGCAGTTAACTACTCCTTGAGGTCAGGTCCTCGGGGCAATGTCACTGAGAACCCAAAGATCATTTTGTTGTACGTCAAGACCAAATATCAACCGGTCATTAAAGAGTTGTCTACCCTTCGTGGTTGCCCGGAAGTGAAGTGTCGTCTGACCACAAACCAGCTGTATCTACCAAACAGCAGTGCTGTGATGTTTGCTGCGAATTTCCTGCGCTTGGAAACTCCACCACCACGACACAAAGACCAAGTTTGGATTCTACATAACCACGAATCACCCCAGAAACACTGGCTTGGAAAACGAAGCATTTGGCTACCGAGCTGGAAAAATGTATTCAATTGGACGTTTGATTATAGGGTGGATAGTGATATCCCTGCTCCTTATGGCGTTCTACAAGCTAGAAATGACACCATCGATAAAGATTATTCTGCGATTTTTAAACAGAAAAATGGTACAATTGCATGGATGGTAAGCAATTGCGCCGGAGACAGCAAACGAATGGAGTATGTGAAGGAGCTCATGAAGTACGTCCAAGTTGACATATATGGAGCTTGTGGAAACCATAAATGCCCAAAGAAGGATGGCCCAGCATGTTTTGAGATGTTGAGCTCAAAGTATAAATTTTATCTGTCTTTTGAAAATGCATTTTGTAAAGATTATGTAACAGAAAAGTTCTTTGTATACTACGAACTTAATTTCATTTTGATAACTCGCGGGGGTGGTGATTATACTAAACAGGCTGAAAACAATACTTACATAAATGCAATGGATTTTGAATCTGCCAAACATTTAGCAGATTTTGTCAAACAGCTTGCCAATAATGAAACCGAATATACAGGGTATTTGAAGAGAAAGGATAAATACAAATCTGTATATGAAGAATACGCATTTAAGGAACATGGTGTGATTGTTCAACGAGCGTACAGACTGGAGGCCCAGGGAATGTGTGAAGTGTGCAGGAGACTGTGGGACATCGAGAAGTACAGGAAACAATATGACGACATAACCACGTGGTTCAACAAAGGCTTGTCCTATCCACAGCCATAAATACGGTTTGAAATCTAGAACTTCTAATTGATGGAACAGTTCTGAAGTGAAACTAAAACTGATGTGATACTGAAGTATACAGCAAACCCTGGTTATAATGCCACCGTTTGTCCGGGAGAAAAATATGGCATTATATCCACGGTGGCATATATTGGACAGTTAGAGGTTCTTTGGCTTCAAAGAAAACAAGTCAATACTTTGTTGTTCATCTTTATTTATCAGTAACACATGTACACTCGCACATAAATGCAAAATACATTTTGCCCTAATGAATACACACATGATTCAAATGAAACTTTGATCCACATTGATCTACAATGGTTTAAGGACCGCCTCCGTGGTGTAGTGGTTAGAGCGTCCGCCCGGAGAGCGGAAGGTCGCGGGTTTGATCCCCGACCGCGTCATACCAAAAGACGTTAAAATATGGTACTTGTTGGTCCCTGCCTGGCGCTCGGCATAATGGGTACAACAAGGACTGGTCGGCTCGGAGTCAGTAGAATGTGTCTGAGTGGGGTATTCATGCTTTAATGCGGCATGGTATCTCAGTGGGCTAGCACTATAAAACCCGCTTAAGTCTGGGCTAGTAGAAGCAGCCGCACATACACATACACATGCATGCACGTCGTCATATGAGCGAAATATTCTCAAGCACGACGTTAACCCCAATTTCACCTCACCTCTCAATGGTTCAAAGGAAACTTAAACTGAAGTCTGTTTGTTCTGTACTTTTGGGGGGCGGTGGGGGTAGCCTAGTGGTTAAAGCGTTGGCTCGTCACCAGTAAGGATATCAAACTTTAAGAAAATAGTAAGATTAACAGAAATCCACAACATGTTGTTGCAGTAGTTCTAATCCTAAACATTCTAAACATATCAGAGTGTCTCAGTGTTGTTTATTTCAAAAATCTCAGAGTGGTTAATTGTTTACTTTATACCATACAACTGTTTGTGTAATGATTACATAAATATTTAATCAAACATCAACTATCGAATGTATGATGGTCACACTATAAATTATTACTTTCGTTACTATTTACATATTGATACAAATAATAATAATAAATATTAATATAATAAAACATATACAATATATATTAGTTTGCATGTTCTCTTTTTACCCATGGCCCTTTTGACTTAAGTCTATGGCCCTTTTGACTTTCCTTTGACCCTTTTGACTTTTACAATTTTGGCCTTTTGACTACAACCATCATCATCATCATCATCATATATACATTTGTATAGCGCCGATATCCAGCTCCGCTCAGCTGCTCAAAGGCGCTTTGTTTTTCCCTCGTTCACTGGATGTCAATCTCAACGGCACAACGTATTGTCAATCTCAACTCCCTGGGGAGCATACAAACTCTTGCAGCCACTAGGCGCACCGAGTTATTGTGGCATTCCCATCCTTACGAGGTACCCATTCACAGCTGGGTGCACTGGGACACATAGTCACAGTACTTTGTCCAAGTTCACTGCACGTTGCTGTACCCGCAACTGGGTGTTTGCACGTATTCATGTGGCCACCATCTGGTCATATACCTACGGATTCGTGGGGTCTTTTAAGTGCACAGGGTTGTGTACTGTACACTAGGGGTTGTGACAACACTGAAAGAGTCTGCACACAAAGTTGACTCCAAGGTTTTACACCCGGTCACAGGTGGGCTCGATCCCGTCACCTCAAGCTCACTGGATCACTAGCCTGGCGCCTTAGCCAGTTCGCCCACCGCGCAACCCACAAGGTAATAGCCTAATAGTTTTGCTATAACGTTACTTGGTTATCTGTCTTTTCTTCTTATGTTTGTTGCTGCATTCAACAAAATCATTTCCCTTCAAATGTTTCGCTGTGAAGTTCTTCTAGGCGAGACAGACAAATGTGTGTGAAATATGATTCACTTATATTTTAGGTACTCTATACCATATCTAGAAATTAAAGTCATTTTATAAATTCACTAAAAACAAATCGTGCAATTCTTTATGAGGTTTCAAAGCGCATATAAATATAATAATAATTAATTATGCTAGGATTATGAGGTAAAAGTATAAATACTATGTGAAACTAGATTATGACAGAAACCTATCTCAAAATACTTGGCTAATGTTTGTCATAGATATTCTAGATAACTGTGGATACACACCGCTGTCTTCAATGACTAGTCGTATGTAATCTCATTCGCAACTACCAAATTTGCAGACATATGACTTGCTGTGAAATAGCCATGGTAACGGATGTTTGCGAAAAAAACGCGATCAAAGTGTGTCTCACCACAGGTATCTGTGAAAAACTAATCAAACGAATAAAATCGATAACATATGGTTCCCACAAAAACCAAAAGGGAAACCATGGTACACTGAAAATAGGCCAAATCATCCGCTACTTTTGTGGTCGTTGCAAACTATATTTGATTTACACTGCTTAAATAGCTTTTAAATGTACCATCAAATCTCTTATAAATTTAAGTTTTCCGTAAGTTTACCAAACAAAACGTAAAGAATCTTCAGTTTCCATATTCTTTCAATTAGGTTTCCGTTTTCCTGAAATTAATTTTATTTTATGTGACAATATCTTTTATTTGAATTCTGATGTACAGAAACACTGACATCACGAAACTAAAACCTATATAATACATAGGCAGTTTAACGTAGGTTAATGTAGGTTTCTGGATATATGCATATGAAGTTAAATTTATTTTTCTACGATCGTTTCATTCAAGTTCTCACTAATAGAAGCATGAATGAAGGTTTCCAGTTGCTTTATGCAATGGAAACTAACAATGATACTTTACTGTCAGTTTCCATTTCTGGAAACTAACCTTGTTCGTTTCCGACAGTTTTCAGTCGCTGAAACTAACCGTGTTTTTGCTGTGAATTAGCATTCCCAATCTGGTGGACATTTGTCAACACGGACAAAACCCCACCGCGACACAAAGACCAAGTTTGGATTTACATAACCACGAATCACCCCAGAATTACTGGGCTGGAAAACGAAGCATTTGAAATCTAATTGATGGAAAGGTTCTAAATTGACATTAGAAACTAATATATACTGACATATGAAGTATATGTACTTTATCGTACACTGTATCTAATTTTGAGGTAAATAACATGTGAACCTGTGAAGATCCAGGTTAGAATTGGTCTTCAGGAACCTATGCTTGTAAGAGGCGACTAACGGGATCGGGTGGTCAGACTCGTTGACTTGGTTGACACGTTACGAAATAAAATAATATGAAGATACTTCTTCTTGTGATGATGGAATTGGTGATGACAGCGATAGTAAATAGAACCAACTACAACTTCGTTATTTATATACATGTATTTGTCATTACTCTTTGAAAGCAACCATGCTGATGAGCCAGAATTGGGGTACAGGAAGCGCCAGTAGCCAGATGCACCAGTAGCCTTGAGTACCAGTAGCCAGATGCTCCAGTAGGCTTGTGTTCCAGTAGCCAGATGCACCAGTAGCCGGGTGTACCAGTAGCCAGCTGCACCAGTAGCCGGGTGTACTAGTAGCCAGATGCACCAGTAGTCGGGTTTACCAGTAGCCATATGCACCTGTAGCCGGGTGTACCAGTAGCCAGATGCACCAGTAGCCGGGTGTATCAGTAGCCGGATGCACCAGTAGGCTTGTGTTCCAGTAGCCAGATGCACCAGTAGCCTTGAGTACCAGTAGCCAGATGCACCTGTAGCCGGTTGTACCAGTAGCCAGATGCACCAGTAGCCGGCTGTATCAGTACCCAGATTCACCCGTAGACAGATGCACCAGTAGCCGGCTGTATCAGTACCCAGATTCACCCGTAGCCGGGTGTACCAGTAGCCGGATGCACCAGTAGCCAGATGCACCTGTACCCGGGTGTACCAGTAGCCAGATGCACATGTAGCCTGGTGTACCAGTAGCCAGATGCACCAGTAGCTGGGTGTACCAGTAGCCAGATGCACCAGTAGCCGGGTGTACCAGTAGCCAGATGCACCAGTAGCCGGCTGTACCAGTAGCCAGATGCACCTGTAGCTTGGTGTACCAGTAGCCAGATGCATCAGTAGCCAGATGCACCTGTACCCGGGTGTACCAGTAGCCAGATGCACATGTAGCCTGGTGTACCAGTAGTCAGATGCACCAGTAGCCAGATGCACATGTAGCCTGGTGTACCAGTATCCGGGTGTACCAGTAGCCATATGCACCAGTAGCCAGATGCACCAGTAGCCGGTGTACCAGTAGCCAGATGCATCAGTAGCCTGGTGTACCAGTAGCCGGGTACACCAGTAGCAAAGATGCACCAGAAGCACGGATGCACCAGTAGCCAGATGCACGGGTGCACCAGAAGCCAGATGCACGGATGCACCAGTATCCGGGTGTACCAGTAGCCGGATGCACCAATAGCCGGGTGTACCAGTAGCCGGATGCACCAGTAGCCGGATGTATTTCCCCAAACATAAATGGCTCAACACCCACAGTTGGAGACAACCTGGTCCTCCGTGAAATACAAACAAGCACAAATCATTCTCATGTTCGCCATCAGTTACGTAATTGAATGACGACCAGAAACATATTTCCAGTTTGAGGCTTACTTTCCTATTTCTTATACCTGAACAAAAAATACGACAAAACAATCAGAAAGCGCGTAAATGAGCGCGGTGCTTTGATAAAAATAATCCCGAGTATTCAAATCGTTTATGGCATTATGTCATTGTTTAAAAAATCATGAAAAATATATATCGTCATATTGAAAGTACAAAGAACGTAGCTAAAAGGATTTTGCTGCCTATTATGAAGTTTTTAATAAGAATCATGCGAATGACGGTGAGAGATTCAAATACACGCACATTGTACGTGCGTTTCGACCAATTTTAGGAAATGTAATTATAATCGCTACCAGTTTCAAAACAATAATATCGTATTTGTATGTAACTAATCAATCTTAATCTTTAACATTGGGCTTATATTTCATATCTCTGGGGATATTTTAGTCTGACTGTTTTTTGGTCATTCATATTTTTTTTAGCGAATT